ACTGAAATATGGCAAATATATGGCTGTGATTGAAGAACTTCCTCTTGAGCATCTGCTCCATTTTAACAGAGGGAGAATGGAGTGCCTTTCAGCCAGCTGTTATGTGGATGTTTGCATTTGATCCTTAGTGCTTTTGTGTTAACTTGGACTTTGAGGATTACCTAGAAAGTAGTTAATATTTTAACATTTAATTCTACAAAAGTTATTTAACTATTATGCCAAGTCCTGAAAAAGAAAAATGTTGGCAATATTTGAATATCTAACAGCTAGTTAAAAGTTATTTTCACACATCAAGCAAAAAGTTACAAGTTAAGGTGACTAAAGAAAGTGACAAAACTAAATCAAAGCAAACCTAGAAATATGACTGCAGAATTAAGGCTGCTAGAGAGCCAGGGTAAAAGAGGTGGAAACAGAGGTGGGGGGCATCCAATAGCCTAGGGTGAAGGACTATGGGTACTTTGATGGGAGATGGTGTGGTAACACATCTGAGGAGTGACCCTTTTCCCCTAAATCATATACAGTATTGTAAACCAACATTACCTCAATAAAGGAAAAAACAACAGAATAGTCCTACTCCAAATTCCGATGGTCTGTGGTAAGACCCAGAAGTGTGTATTTTGACAGATCCCTAAATGATTCTTTTCTGTACCATAAGCCTGAGAACCACTGATAGGCTGAATGAAGCATTCTATTTACATGAATTTTCCAGATAACTAGGGCTTACCCATATATAACTCTTTGAAATGTTTTACAGTTCTATATATGTATAAAATAAGTTTGTTCAACAGAGTTTAAGGTTTTCTTTATGACCAAGAGCCATGTCCATGGCATAGTATGGACATTTCTGTTGAGTTGTGTGGGATTATTTCCCCTTCTATACAAGGGGAATAATGAAAAAAAAAAAAAAAGTTAGGGACCATGGACATAATAGACAGGTTCCCAAAAATGACTAGATTGGAAATACGAGTAGACTCAAACAAAGGGAAACACTATCTCTGTCTCCTGTTACTATTTTTTTGTCACTTGAAAAACAGACAATGCACTCACATGATGCAAAATTTTAAAATACAAAAGGATATGTGGTGAAAAGTAAAGTTCTCTTCCATCCTTGTCCCCCAGCCACCCACTCACTGTGTCTCCCCATTGCCATCTTTTATGTATCCCAGAGAAATTCTCTGTTTCCAAGGATTATATCCCTCATGGTGATATTTAAGGGTGTCTAATTTTATTTTATTTATTTATATTTTAAGGTTGTCTAATTTTAGATGTTACATTTAGATCCAGAATATTCCCTGGCACAAGTCCAGAGTAGGAAAAGTCAGTAGCACATGTGAGGAAAACTCAGTTTTAGTTGACAGTAACCTCAATATGAGTCAACTGTAAAGTGACTGCCAGAGAAGATTAGGTAAGCCTAGGAGACGTTTAGTGTCGGAAGCAACAAACCACAAACAACAACAGATGTCTTCTGAATACCTGCTTGTATGTGTGGGCCTCTGTGCTGGGCACTGGGGACACAGAAGTGCCAGAGTCAGCCACTGGCCGGGCCCTCACAGAACCTATCTTCTGGGAGACAAGGGAGGTCATATAGCCGTCTCACCTCTCTGAACTCTCCAGCCCTGTGGGATTCCTGTGTCCTGCTCTGACCAGCTCCCTTCAGTGGAAACATTGACCAACTAGAGCTTGTGCAGAGTGGAGTAAGCACAAGAGTGAGGAAACCTGATGCCATGTCATCTGAGGGAAGCTAGCAGAAATTGGAGGCGCATATTTAGCCTTTGAGAAGCAAGAGATGAGAAGAGTTAGGGAGGACTAACAGCTGTCTTCAGATACATTTGGGATTATCATGTGCATGACAGGCTTGATTTATTCTTTTTCTGATATTATAAGGCAAAAATGATGCCAATTGCTACAAGTCAGTAGAAGTTAAAAGTATATCATCAGGGGCCTCCCCTGGTGGCGCAGTGGTTGAACGCTGGGCTGCGAAGCTGCCGGCAGCCTCTGCAGCACCGGTTTGACCATGGCGCAACAGACCTCTCCTGCCATGCCCGCTGCTCCCCTCAGCAGTGTACTGTTCTACTCTCCGTTCTGGCTCTGGTGAATTCTCTCACCCTCCTGCGCCTGTTCTACTCTCCGTTCTGGCTCTGGTGAATTCTCTCACCCTCCTGCGCCTGTTCTACTCTCCGTTCTGGCTCTGGTGAATTCTCTCACCCTCCTGCGCTTCTGACTGTACCCAGTGCTTGTGTAAATAAATAAAAAATCTTAAAAAAAAAAAAGTGTATCATCAGGATAAAAAAGAACCCTTGAACCCTTGCATGATTAGGCTTGTCCAATAAAAGAACAGGTGCTTGAGGAATATCTAATTCCTGATCTTCTCAGGGAGGAAATCAGAGATTAGTCAAGAGCTTTAGGGAGAATTCTCAAACTGGGTTGGGGGTTGAACTTTAAATTTCCTTACAATTCTGAGAATCTGTTTGCAGAGGCTCTTTAGGGGAGGCCATTATGTATGCCAAATTCTGTAGAGTTGGTAAACAAAAGTTGGTGCTAAATCAAGGTTTGTTCTCTGGAGTTGGAGGAAGCACACCCTTCTGGTCTGCTAAAGTAAATGAGCCTGAGGGCTTCATCATTGGTTTGAAATAATGTTTGCTTATTGGTATAAAATAAAATCTTTGTTAATTCTATGCTAGTTAGAAAAGACTTCCAAAAATACCCTCTATTCAACCTAGAGTCTGAGAATTGCAGAGCTTTAGAACATGAGTTGTTAGGGAATGAATAAATGACTGGGAATATATGTTCAACTATTACTGATAAAGGCCTACAGGAAGTTTGCTCAGTTCTGACTTTCTGTAAAAGTATATCATCCAACAGGATTATTGCAGCCCAAATATACTATTTAGGATGTTTCTATCCTTAGTTCAGAATGTGGACTTTGGAGCTCCGTATACTTGGGTGGGTCTCCCAGTTCTGCCAGGGTTCTTGAATATTTATTCAACAGTTGTTTATGAATTCCTTTCTATATTCTATTCTTTATGCTAAGCACTGAGGACAAAGCAATGAGCAAGGGAGACAGGTACCCAGACTTAAGGAAACTTAGAACCTAATGGGTTAAATTAATCTCTGTAAACCTCATTTTCTTTTTTGAAAAACTGAGATTTCTGTTTCATAAGATTCCTGTGAGGATATTAATAAGGTAATATGTTTAAACACATAGACAGTAATAAAATGATGTTAAGCCCCTAATGTTAGTAACTCCATAGCCCCTGGCTGGAGAAATTAGAACACACAAGACATTGAGTTAATGTTCTGTTGCTGAAAAGTCCATTTGTTAAACAATTTTAGCAATTTCAGTTGACATCTTATTAAGCATTGAATATGTGTCAGCCACTGCTGAATGCTTTACATATTTTAACTCATTTCTCTTAACAATCCTATGAGGAAGGTATTATTATTCATCCCATTTTCCTGTGGCAGAAAATTGAGGCACCACATTCTCAAACTGGAGCATTCACTGCTGTATAATGGAGCGGAGGTTTAAACCCTGGCTTGAATCCAGAGTTCAAATTTGATTTGAATCCAGACTCATACTGTTCACCTGACAGATTTCTAGTTTTCTGATGTTAATTTTTATCTGATCTACACATTTCTGATCTAAAGTCAGAAATCTAAAGGCAGACTTTAGATCAGAAATGTGTATGTTAGGGGATACCTTGTTTGCTGCTTTTGTAAATTAGTTTTTTAAAGATTTATGTATGTATGCATATGAGAGCTGGAGTATAGGCCAGAGGTGGGGGGTGGGTGTGAGCGGATTCACCAGAGACAGAGTGGGGAGCAGAACAGGTGTATTGACTGAAGTACACTGCTGAAGGGAGCAGCAGGACAGACAAGAGAGGTCTGCTGTACCATGTGGGTTAGATCAAACCCATGTGGCCAGGGATCGAACTCGTGTTGCAGTGACTGCCGATAGCTTCATAGTGCTGAGACTTAACCCCTTGCCAAGCCACCAGGGAGGCCCTTGTTTGCTCCTTTTGATACATAACCTATTTAAATAAACAAGGCACTCGGACCATTGTACCACAGTGTCTACAAATTCAGATAGACAGTGAATGTCATCTCCTTCAGTGCAAATATATTTTTCACTGGACAAAGGGTGAATAAGTTACTCCTCATTGCTATAGATCTGTAATATTTTTACAATCTAACAAGAACATAATTGGACAAGCAGAGTACAACATCTTTTTTGTCGTATCTATTTCATCTTGGGGGAACTACTAGATTCTCTAAGATGAAAGTTGAGGCATGTGGGGAGCACTTTTACCAAATGATCCTTAGTTGATATGCATCAAATATGATTGCCAAATTGAAAATCCAGCAGTTTCACCAAGCCATAAAGTATAACTTGGTATGTTCAGATTCATCACTAGTACTGCCATTGCAAGAAATTAAAATAGTGGAATTGAAAACTGATTGGGACTTTTAATGAAAATCTTATCTGAATCCCTCATGGGTAAGGAAAGTGAGAAAGTAAGCATACTTTCCCTTCACTTAGCTATATTTTTCCCCATTGAATGCACAGATAATGGAGCCTTGGAGTCAGACCATGGAATTATAAGGCTTATTTGAAGTAAAGTCTGGCAAACTCACATAGGTATCTGGAGTACACAAAATAATGTAGCAGTTGATTTGTATTTGTGCTTTTTAAAAATTAGATGTTTTAAGATTTTTTAAAAAAGATTTTAAATCACTTTATTGAGGTGTAATTGTCACAAAAAATTGTATATACTTAAAGTATATGACTTAATGAGTTTGAGGACACAAATATTTACCTCTGAGACCATTACCACAGTCAAGGCCATAAGTACAGGATATTTAAATTTTTAAGCTCTGCAACTTGTCTTCAGATGTGATGGTATTATTTAAATCCTTTGTAAAAATTTTGCTAATCTTTGATTTATGGGTATAATCCATGGCTTATTTTCTCTCCTCATACCCCACTTCTTTCTCAATAGAATGGGAGCTTACTGATATGGTGGTATGGGTGACTGGAGCTTCAAGTGGGATTGGTGAAGAGCTGGCTTACCAGCTGTCTAAACTAGGAGTTTCTCTTGTGCTATCAGCCAGAAGAGTGCCTGAACTGGAAAGGGTGAAAAGAAAATGCCTTGGTAAGTAAATCTATAATGCCAGCAGTGCTTCCTAGAAATAAATTAGAATCCAAACTCAAATATTGCTTTGGGAATTTTAGGGGTAAGAGTGGGATTTTCCTGGGCAGTACATTCTGGTTCCAAATGTTTCAAGTGTATTGACTTCAAATCTCCTTCCTTCTATCATCTCTAAATTTGCTGCCCTTGCCTTTTTCTTCTGCTGTCATACTTTTTTTTTTTTTTTTTTTTGCATTGACTCTTGGCATTAGGAAGTGACCACCAATTCTCAAATACTGGTGGATTTTTAGTGACCAAATGTCTTATATTTTTGTCTTAGAAAAGGAACAGTTTGGTTCTTATGTATGAAATATATATATATATGTAACCTTAGAAATTTAATTAGAAAGGATCCTTACTAATTGTATTAAAATGTCAGATATTAAAGTCACATGGGATGGTATAAGACTTTTAATAAAGGGTGAAAGGCAGGAACGGAATTAGGTAAAAAAACCCACAACTCTAGAGGTACGATCTTTCATATTCATGTCATAGGGCACCAACATCATTTTTTGTGTGTTTTATTGTCATTAAGTTCATAATGAATGCAACTTCAAGAATAAAGTTATTTCTCATGGGACATTTAGTACCTAAACTGAGATTATTTTGAGTTTTTCAGCAGATCATTCTGGTAATTTCTGCCTGTCCTCTTAAAATCATTCACTCTGCTGATGAAGCAAACCACCCAGAAATGAATAAGTTGCCAAGCCCACAAAGCATCTTTCATAATAGTCCTTTTAAAGGCCTCTTGGGTTTTTGCACCGAGCCACTTTCGGTGAAATATTTTTTATGACCTTTAAAGTTCATTTTCAGTAGCATGTTTCACTCTTGGAATAATGAGACCCAGTAGTTGGGTGGCTACCACCCAGTTTCTTGAAAATACGAAGCTCTGCTTCTTTGGGATATCTTTCTGCTCTGAAGAGCAGACAGTTGCAGGAATGTGGTTACTCCTCCCATTGTTAAGTCTTATAAATCCTGTTCTTGCAAAGATGAACCACGTCTGCATTTTTCTCACTGGAGTGAGGCTTGTTGCTTTCCTTTTAGTGATCACATCATTGGTACAAACTTTCATTTCTTTAAAAAGTTAATGTTTCAGAATTTACTCCTTGGCCCAAAAACTCTTTGTATTTTTAAAATTTTTTATTTCCTGTGCTTGCTTGTTTTTCTTATTGGTACTGCTAGTTTTTTCAAGGTTAAAAAGTCCAAGAAAACTAGTTTCAGCAGTTCTTTTTGATGAACAAACCTAGAAAGGTCTATTAATGGCCCAACATGTTTCTTGTTTGGGAACTTAAGGATTGCATCCTTTTCCTAGTTTGCTTTGTAGAATACTTAGCCTCTGGAAGGAGGCTTTTCTGTGTGTCCTGTGACTGGATGATGGATATTCTTACTGATTTTAAAAACAAATTGCTTTTTGTCTTTTAATGTGAGTAAAGAGCAACTTTGCAAACCTCTTGTAAAACAAATGTGCCCCTATACTTCTAAAGAAATTGCACTACAACTTTTGCTATTTTCAACTTATGGTGTAATTTTTTTTTTTTCTAGAGTCTGTTTCAATGTGAGACTATATATTCAAATTGAAGGGAATCATTCTACTTCCTGTTACCCAGCCAGCCTTTGTCTGATAAGATGTTGCTATATTACGACCAATCCTTTTTGTCACTGAGAGAAACTCTTCCACAGGGCCACCCAAAAATGAGTTTGTTATCAAATCTGGTTTTAGAGTGGGTATTAAATTTAATGTGAGTAGCAAGGAACTTGACTAAAACATTGCATGACTTCTATGCTAATTTTTAAGTGTCTTTATTTAGAGAATGGCAATTTAAAAGAAAAAGATATACTTGTTTTGCCCCTTGACCTGACTGACAGAAGTTCCCATGAAGTAGCTACCAAAACTGTTCTTCAGGAGTTTGGTAAAGTAAGTAGCATTTTGAATTGATAAGTCTTCCTTTGAAGTAGCCGCAAAAGCGATTCCCTTTTGTAGTGTTATCATTAAAAGCAGCTGGGTCTATGCAGGGAAAATATGGCCCATGAGTTGGGCCTAATAATCTCTGAGTCTTTAGCTTTATGTCATCACTACTTTCCAGTGCCTCCACACATCTTTTTATGACACTTGGTACTTACCATTAAAAGTCACTTAAAATGAGAATTTAATTCCATAGGTAAATTCTGTTTTTTATTTCACCTTTTTATTACTAACTTCTAAAAATACGCTCATCCATTCCATTGATTCTTCAAGTTAATAATATAGCTAACTATCCCTAGTAATCCTATTAGTCATTCATACATCATCCCCTTTTCTGACTTTTTTTTTTTAACTAGATTGACATTTTGGTCAACAATGGGGGAAGATCTCAGCGTTCCTTGTGTGTAGACACCAGCCTGGATGTCTTCAAAGAGCTAATAGAACTTAACTACTTAGGAACAGTGTCCTTGACTAAGTGTGTTCTGCCTCACATGATTGAGAGGAAGCAAGGAAAGATTGTTACTGTGAATAGCCTCGTGGGTATCATAGCTGCACCCCTTTCCAGTGGATATTGCGCCAGCAAACATGCTCTTCGGGTAAGGCTGCCGAAACTCAACTCTGATATTATTGCCCCAAGTGTTTATATGGCCATTACTGCAAGAGGTCACTGAAACTGTGGGGTGATATGGGAAAACAGAGATCCAGCAAAAACCTTTGGTAGAGTACATCCCCCAAAGAGGCTAAAAAAGACTTGAACTTCACATACTTCTTCCTAATTCAACATGTATTGAACTGCTATGTATTGCAACAGATCCTGGATACATAAGATAATATAATCCTTGCCCTCAAGAAATCTATAGTCAACATGTCACCTTTCACCTTATCTTTATTTTTATCAGGTCTACATGGAATATTTGTGTCCTACTTCTAGTTTCTTCTACACTCTCTTCAGGATGTACTTTTTCCATTTCTGTGACTTCACTCTTATTACCCACTGTAGCTGGTGCTTATTTTATTTTATTTTATATTATTATTATTTATTATTATTAATTAATTATTTATATTTATACAAGCACTGGGTACAGTTAGAAGCGCGGGAGGGTGAGAGAATTCACCAGAGCCAGAGCGGGGAGCAGAGCAGGCAGAAGGACCGAAGTACACTGCTGAGTGGAGCAGCGGGCGGCAGGAGAGGTCTGCGCGCCATGTGGGACCCTCCTCTGGTGGCCGGGGAGCAGCCGGAGATAGAACCAGCGCTGCAGAGGCTGCGGGCAGCTTAGCAACCCAGTGCTCAACCGCTGTGCCACCGGGGAGGCCCTATTTTATATTATTTTTTAAAGATTTATTTATTTATGCATACAAGATCTGGGGTACAGGCCAGAGATATGGGGGGTAAGAGGATTCACCAGAGATAGTACGGAACAGAACAGGCAGATTGACCTAAGTACACTGCTGAGGGGAACAGCAGGCGAGATAGGAGAGGTCTGCTGTGCCATGGGGGTAGCTCCCTGGCCAGCTGGAGATCGAACTCATGCTGCAGAGGCTGTGGATTGCTTCATAATGTGGTGCTTAACACTTTGCACCACCAGAGAGGCCTATGGTGCTTATTTTACCTGGCATTAATATATGTAAACATTCAGGAATCACCTACTGAATTACCTGTCCTGGGCTTCATATCCCTACTGTGACTAGTTTTTACCCTGGTTTCACTGGAAGAGAAAATCTAGAAAGGCAGAGGCTAGGAGAAAAGCTTGATTTGTGTTTCTAACTTATGAGTTATGAATATTAGAAACAAATTTTTGCAGATATTGGAAGTAAACTTGGCTTAAGAGTGGGTATGAAAAAATGTTACTAAACTATAATATAAAATTCTAAGGCCAATATGAGAACAGTGATTAAAAGAGACACATTTTTTATTTATTTATTTTAAGGATTTATTTATTTATACAAGCACTGGGGTACATGCCAGAGGTGTGGGAGGGTGAGAGAATTCACCAGAGACAGAGCAGGGAGCAGAACAGACAGAAGGACCAAAGTACACTGCTGAGGGGAGCAGCGGGCGAGACAGGATAGGTCTGTTTTGCCAGGTGGGAATCTCCCTGGGAATCAAACCAGCGTTATAGAGGCTGCGGACAGCTTCACAGTGCTGCGCTCAACCTGCTGCGCCACTGGGGAGGCCCGAGACACATAATTTATGTTCAGTGCTTTTGAAGGTCAGTTTAAGTAGAATGTTTCACTGTTGGAATGAGATACACTAGTCGAAAAGTCATCACAGTTTCTTAAACATAGGATACCATGTTTTTTGTTTTTTTTTAATATATTTTATTTTATATAATTCTTACATCATTTTTTGTTTATGCACAATGTATGCATTTTCATTTTGCTTATATTCTCCATACAATTGCACCCCCCCTTATTTTGACCCTAATCCTTCCTCTCCCCACCCCACCATAGTGTGTCTCTGGTTTATAGTTGCTTGTTGATTTTGATTTTTTTCTTTATTATAATTAGTCTTTTTCCTGAGGACACCATGTTTTGTTCTTTAGGACATCACCTTCTTTTCTTAAGGGCAGACAGTTGTAAGGAGTGATGCAACAGAATGCTACAGTGATGATTTTCTTCATATTTGGTAATGGGCTATCAGACACTTCCTCTTGAACAGTTGGGCAAGTCTCAGGCAGGCAGATGAGGAAAGGAAAACTACCCCATCTGTTTGGCACTAAGTATCTCATAAAACATGCAGAATATTTTCAGTAAAATACAATATGATTTGTCTGGCTTGCCCTCCAAGTCTCACTCTCATTACTAGATTTGATCTTCTGATGCAGTATGGCAGGTTGAGATCCTTATTATACTGGTAGCTGAAAACTAAGACCAAAAAGCTCTTTTTAAAGAGTCCATTTCCCTCCCAGCTCCCAGTGAGCAATAGAGTAAAACTACCTATTATTGAAAAGTTTACTTACTCTACTAGGTGCAATTTCAAACAGGGAGATTGTGGTGTCTGATGTATTGGCGTTTATGATGTTCTCATCGTCATCTTTTGTTCCAGAGGGGCAGAGGGTTAAGGGTAAATGAGTTCATTCATTTACAAAGCCCTTTTTCCTGCTTATCCAAGACTGGCACTGTATTAGTCTCTGATAGCATGAACCCTCATAGGCATTATGTTTGTTAGGGGTCAGCATTAAAGGCTGGTACCTGTTTAATATTGGATCAAAAATGAAAAGCTAACCCTGGGTTAGCTGTTTAGGCTTTTCAATAGTTATCTCAGCTTAGAATAATGTAGTCTGGGAGCATTTTCTAATTTAGGGAAAGAGATGGGGGAGGTGGATGTTAACTTCCTATTGGTTTTAAAATGGCCGCTATCTTTAAGTTTAGAGGGTATTGCTTTGTTTTACAAGTCACTGAGTAAGCAATAACATTACATTTTTAACTAGCCATATATGTTCTTTCTACCAAAAAAGATGTTTGCTGAATAGTAATCTAAATAGAAAAAGTATAATTCTTTCTTAAAGATACTTCCACTTGCCCCAACATTGGCACTTTAAACAACTTTGAAGAATAAAAAGAAACCTCTGTGATTCTCAGTGAGATAGGAAGTGGTGTGAGGAGGGTGTATCAGAATTTCCAGAAATAATTTTTAACCTATCTAGTACTTATCTATGACAAAAATCTCTGATGGCATGAGCTACTGCTACCAAAGAGTGGGGATCCACTCATACTCAGAAAGATTTGAGAGTGTGAGTTCTAGATTGCCTCCAGTTAAAATTGCCAAGCAAGCTTGTACAATTTGCAAGGCTTTTCAGAAACAATACATTCTTTATTCAGCCATTTCAGAACATATTTTGCTAATGTACTATTGTTCTTCATAGAAAGTAGAAGTAAAGAAATTTCATGCTTAGTGAATGTGAGATGTGTGTCTATATTTAATATTTACTATTTTCCTGTTAGGGTTTTTTTAATGCCCTCCGAACTGAACTTACTGCATACCCAGGTATAGTAATTTCTAACATTTGCCCAGGACCTGTGCAATCAAATATTGTGAAGAATGCCTTAACTGAAGAAGTCACAAAGGTAAACATTTCTAGTTGGGGAATAATTTGAATGCATTAGTAGTAATATACTGGTGTTGTATTACAATGCTTCAATATTTTCATGTTAAACTGCTTTGAGGTATTTACAAAACTTCACTAATGGCATTAGGAAAATTGTTAAGATAAGCACTTTGGCATCCAGTTTTAATAAAGCTAAAGAAATTGCTAATATACTGCTCTTAAGTAATGCACTATTCTGTAGGCTATCAATAGTTTATCAATCCAAAAATCATCCAGCATTGAAAGACTGTGTGGCTGAGTATTAGGACAATAAATCTTACTGGAATTTTAAAGAGGGATTATGCTGAAAGAGCCAAAAAGGGCCTTGCTGAATTGTGATATTTTAGACCGGCCTTACCTAGAGTTGTACTTCCCTTAGCAAACATATTACACATAGTGATCTATCAAATGAATAGTAAATGTCTCATGAAGAGTCCAGTATTAATAATAATGAATCCTCTAAAGACCATGAAATTTCCCTTCTTTTTCATTAAGATCCATTTCTACTGAGACATAAATCTGTATTTTCTGTGAAGGCGCCAAGTGAAATAAAATAAACATGTATTCTAGACTTGGAATTTAGAACTGCTTACTATTAATGATCTTTGTGAGCACAGATAAATTACTGCCTTTCTGGGCCTGGCCTTAACTTAGTTATTTATAGAATGGTAGTGGTTAACTAGATGAATAGTACCACACTTTTTGCACTACCAAAAACTGTTTTTATTTTCTTCCTCCATCTCATCCCCATGAACTATGTTTGATAGAATTTCATTTGCCGAATACATGTATCAATAATTCATTAAAAAATTTTTAAAAAGATTTATGCATACAAGAGCTGGAGTACAGGCCAGAGGTGTGTGGGGGGTGAGAGGATTCACCAGAGACAGAGTGGGAAACAGAACAGGCAGATTGACTGAAATACACTGCTTAGGGGAGCAGTGGGTGAATCAGAAGAGGTCTGATGCACCATGTGGGTTTCTCCCTAGCTGGCCAGGGGATCGAACTTGTGCTGCCGACAGCTTCATAGGTTGTGTCTTAACACCTTGCGCCACCAGGGAGGCCTTCATTCTCATTTAAAATTTTTTATTATTGGGCCTCCCCGGTGGCGCAGCGGTTGAGCGCTGGGTTGCGAAGCTGCCCGCAGCCTCTGCAGCGCCGGTTCGATCCCCGGCTGCTCCCCGGCCAGCGGAGGAGGGTCCCACATGGCGCGCAGACCTCCCCTGCCGCCCGCTGCAGACCTCCCCTGCCGCCCGCTGCTCCCCTCAGCAGTGTGCTTCGGTCCTTCTGCCTGCTCTGCTCCCTGCTCTGGCTCTGGTGAATTCTCTCGCTCTCCCGCGCTTCTGACTGTACCCAGTGCTTGTAAAAATAAATAAATAAATCTTTAAAAAAAAAAAAAAAAAAAAATAAAATTTTTTATTATTAAAGTGATAAGTAATTTTCATTAAGCACATTAAGGTGATATAATTCTAATGAAAAACAAAGAAACTAAATCTTTTAGTTAACCTGCATAATCTTATCTGATAAGTGTATGACTTCTGTTGGATATTTTAAAATATCATATATAGCTTATAGACACCCACTCGTACCTAAGCGAACTTCTGTGGGACAGGAGGTCCTGCTAAAGGAGACACTCAGTCAGATAACTTCTAGGTCCCTGTATCTAAAAGTTATGTGAAATATTTTGGATAAATACTCAGCATTCATTTAAATTTTTAAAATTTCTTAGGCAGTAAGCAATGACGGAGACCAGACCTACAAGATGGCAACCAGTCGTTGTGTGAGACTGATGTTAATCAGCATGGCCAATGATTTGAAAGAAGTTTGGATCGCAGATCATCCTTATTTGTTAGTTGCATATTTGTGGCAATATTTGCCAACCTGGGCCTGGTGGATAACTGGGAAATTAGGGAAGAAAAGGATTGAGAACTTTAAACGTGGTGTGGTAAGAGCAATTTACAATTTTAATACACATAAATCTTGCATATGAAATTTTCCAGTGCTTAAAAACTTTTCATAATAGCCCCAAATTAACTTCATCATATAAATACAGAAAATAGAAAAACTATTCTGTCTTCCATGCAGATCTGTTGATTTACTAGTCTTGGAGAAAGAAGTTTTCTACAAGTTAAAAATCAAATCACTTTTTTTCTTCTACACTCACTGTTTGGTCAGTATATTTGTCAAAATGCTCTTTCTTCACTGTTTCTCCCCACAAGCTCCCATCCATTTTTCAAGTCTCAGCTCAGGTGTTACCTTCTTCGGATGGCACCTGTTCTCTCCTTTTTCTTTCCAGGACTAGCTACATCTTAGCCCCATGCTTACCTCTGACAGAATACCAGCTATGATTGAAATAGACACATGCTCATTGTGTAGTATTGGTTCCTTAGAGTTCACTCTGGAAGCACCACACCTGAGGTGTGCCTATGTCCTTAGAGGAAATAGGTTGGTTACTCATTCTTTCAGCACTCATTCATACAGAAAATAGTGAGGAATATAATTAACTATTCTGGAGAAGATTGTAACCATTGGAAGAGTTTAATGTGTAAATAGCACAGGAAATGGAACAAGTTAAGCAAAAAATCATACCTATGATTATGCAAAGAAAGATTGTTTCAGTGGGTGGTTTTTATTGCTGAAGTATTTAAATAATTATGGCCTCCTTTTAAAAAATAAGTTAGGTATTGATACATAGAGAATTATAAAATGGAATCATACCATATATATCATTATATATATATTATCATGCCACATATATATATATATTATCATGCCACATATATCATTATATAACCCTTCGTTAAGTAATCCATGAAATGTAAGGTGTTTAATTTGTCTGGACTTGTAGTAGGAATGTGAAAATGAATTAGTGCAAAAAAGCAACAAAATAAAAGGAAATGCATAAAGAGACTCAAAGGATTTAATACTTCCACTAACATGTCCAGAGCTTGAAAAAACATGAAGAGAGCTTATCATTTCCTACCAAGTTGTAATGTAGATGAATGTACTTTGGGTTAAATCATTTATAAATGTTTTGGTAATATTGGGACTTGTTAGTATGGTTGGTTCTAAAGGTAGACTTACTTCAAAGATTACAGTAGAGCATTAAGTTTGGAGGATAGCTGATGCAGTGGTATTGTGCCAGTGATGGGTAAGAATTGGGAGGGAAAGACTCCCTCACCAGCATTAAGAGCATGGGGCTGCAGAAATAAAACCATATATATGGTCAACTAATGTATGACAAAGGAGCAAAAAATATACACTAGGAGGGGCAGGAAGAGGAGTCAAGACAGGGGAGGGAAGAGCATAAGGGATAGTGGAGATAGATCAAGGGTGCTATGGGAGAACTATGGGAACCACACCTGAGGGGAGAAATCAGATACTCTGTCCAAAAATTGACAGTGATGTAAGAAAATGAATAAATGATTTTAAGTAAAAAATCAAAAAGAACGTGATAGAGGGAAAATTGACTATCATGAAAGTTACAGAAAAAAAGAACCTAGCATCTGGTGCCAGGCTACTTGGTTAAAATCCCAGCTCTACCCCACACTTGTCCAGTGATCTCTGGAAAGTTCTTTTCTATAAATCAATCTCCCCATCTACAGAAGGAGATTAATGATAAATAGCACCTAATCACAGGATAGTTTGGGAATTAAATGAAGTATATGGGAAGCTCTTAAAACATGAGTGTTATGCTTATTATATGTTAGCTGTTAAATCTCAGAATACTCAGCTAATAGATAGTAAAGATCAAAGAGTTAATAGGGCAGAGAGACAATATATTATAGAAATAATTGTTTCAGAGTAGGAAGAGGGACAAGAGTCTCAAGTTTTAGTATTACTAGCAGTTACTCTTTCAGGAATGTTTTTAAGAAGGCTGTTTTGTCTTGTTTACAGGATATCTAAGTCAGTAAAAATAGCATTTTTTAAAAAAAGATTTACTTTTGTTTATTTATGCATACAAGAACTGGGTTGTAGGCCAGAGATGCCGGGGGTGAGAGGATTCCTCAGAAACAGAGTGGGGAACAGAACAGGTGGATCTACTGAAATACACTGCTAAGGGGAACAGCAGGCGAGACAGGAGAGGTCTGCTGTGGCCACAGTGGTGATAAAATGATAACTTGATTACATCTGAACTTTGCTAAAAATGGCCTTTTTCTTCCTACCACTAACTTTAATATATTGCTTATTTTGTAGTCTTACAGCTTTACCTCCTTTTTAATGACAAGATGGGTGTTCTTTCTTCTCCAGTACCATTTCTGATAATAATCTCATTCTTCACATGAAACCATAGAAACTGTAAAACATTGAATAAAAAAATCACTTTTTTATTCAATTCTCTCCTCCCTACTTCTTTCCTCCCTACTGTTATATACATATATCCTGTTCCTTATTGAGATTTGTTTATAAGCATCTAAGTTAAGAGAATACAGTATAGCATATCCCAAATTAAATGTGCCAGTTGATAATACTTTAATTTGTTTCTATTCCTTGGTCTAGGAATAATATGTCTGAAACTTGCTTTTTATAAATAACATTTTTAGGAATCAAGAACAATAGTTGCACTAAATTTTGTGGTTTATTTTGTTATTTAGTAGAAATTCCTGGCATGCATATCTTTCCAAATGAAGGTAACATCTTAGGGATTTTTGAGTTGCCTTGTCTTATGCTTTAAGCAATAAACTAGTCCACTTTATAGTTTTCTGTCAATATTTCAATTCTAAGTACCCTGCCCTTTTCTTTTTATTTATTAAGGCAAGTCAGTGTAGGCATGATATGCAGATCCAGAAGAGTAATAATAAAGTTTTCAGCAGTTAGAAAATGGCATAAGGACATGCTAACAAGTGATATTTATACCAAATAGAGGAGATAGTGATACTAAGCTCTCTAGAGATATTTTTATGTAGATCTAGATCTTGGCTATAATTTTTTTCTAATTTTAGCACTTGTTCAGGTTTTATAAGGACTCTTAACAGTGAATCATAATGACAAAGCTCCTCAGAACAGAAGTGATTAATTTTAAAAAACAGGGGTAAATGCAAGGAGGGACTAATTCATTTTACTGTCATTCTATTATAGGATGCTGATACCTTTTATTTTAAAACCTGGAAGACAAAACATGACTGAAGGAATACTTGCATTTTTCAAGCCACTGGAGGGAGAAGTGGAAGACATGAGCAATCCTCTTACACATGGAAGACTAGTAATAGTTACAATGATAAATAAAAGATTGTTGTGAATCTTGCAATAAAGATATTAGCAATATCACATTTGTGGGTAAATGAATATTTTAAAATAGTCAGCAGATGTGCTTAAAGTCTAGGTTAGCAGAATTCAAAACAAAAATTAAAATAAACCATTTAACATAAATTTGTGGAGTAGTATATGGAGGCCAGTGCTGGGTAATGAGCAGATATACAGAAGTATCTGAAATAGTCTTGCTTCCATGGTGCTAACACTCTTAGAAGAGTTGACAGGTACAAATGACTGTCATTTGAAGCAGTAGGTAGGGTTCATAGCTGCCACAATTTATTAAACAAGTGTTATTGTGATTTTCTTGGATCTTGGTATGATAGTTTTTGAATCCTACACATTTTATCTGTTATTTTAAGAAACCATGGGTCCTATTTAAATCTTATTTTTGTAAGCATTTGCCCTGTTTAGTATATAGATCACTTTAGTATATAGATCACTGAGCTATATTCCAGTAGGCTTCATGGTGTTATTTTGGTATACTTGGTTAACCCCTTCTAGTGGGGGCTCCTGGTGCTGCCTGAGAAGATGAAAGTGGTTCTCTGTTCCATGCCCCCTGGTGTCCCAGCATCTCCACAGGGAGGAGAGTCTTGGTTCTGCAGGGGCAGAAACTTCTTAGACAGGCCATGTGCTCTGAGTGTGTTTTGCCAGTTTTACCTGCCCACCTTGTTATCTTTTGTGGAAAGGGAAAGTCTTAAAGCCAGTAGGAAAGGAAAGTGCTTGCTCTAGTCACTTGTTTTCAGCAGGGCTACCAATTGATCCCCCTTGCTGGTGATGTCAGACTTGCTTAGTGTTACCAGAGGAGATCTTATTCAACTATTTAACCTGTGTTGCCTTAAGTTGTTGGGTTGGAGGTCAAGAACTGTTGAGTCTTGGTGGCCTTCAGCTGTTGGCTGGGAGGATGCAAAACACCATGCCACTCTGCTCCTCTTCCAGTCCTGGGATCCCAAAGCAGCTTGCTTTCATCTTACCACTTTTTATGTTCTCTGTTGCTTATCTGATGTATCACAGGGTTTATGTTTGGGCTTAGCAAAGAGGAGCAGGATAAAGTGGTTTTACACCATTCTGTTCAGAGTAGAAGTCAAATATTATCTTTTAAAAATTTGAATTTGTTTATTGTCTATATACAGAAATACTGATTTTTATAACTTGGTGTTAAGTCTACCAGTCTTGAAGTTGTTCTTGTTATTTTTGTATGTTCTGAACTTTTATTGTATTTTGTATTTTCTGAACAAACATCATGCTCTCTGAATAATAAGTTTTATTCCTTCATTTTCAGGCCTTAGATATTTTATTTCTTTTCCCTGTCTTATTCTTTCTGGCCAAGACTACAAGACAAAGTTGAATGACACAGTGAAAATGCTTCCTATATTTCATTTCCAGTCTAAGAAGGAGACTGTTTAACACTTCACTGTTAACTATTATTAGTTGTAGGTTTCTGAAAATACCCTTTATCAGATTTAGGAAGTTCCTCTTTTACTTCTTTGCTGAACATTGTCATAGCAGTTTTCTTCATTTCTATGGGTAAATAAAACTTATGTGGATTTCTCATTCCTCTTGTATGAAGCCATAACTTCCTGAGATTCTTCATACACCTGAGAACTAGATTTATAGCAATTTGTCTAATTACTCTGAACCTAAGGTATAATAAGATGTCTCATTTCCCTAAGAAGCTCAAATAATTACAGTCTGGTTTGGCCCTTACATTAAGCCCAAAGTGCCAGAAATACTGAAGTAACTATCTTCTTAGCTGTTGCCTGGGACCTAGGAGATATCTCTAGGAGACACATGGGGGCCATCTGACTCCTGGAGAGATTTTTTTTTAAGATTTATTTATGCATATAAGAGCTGGTATGTGTGTGATAGGGAGGGCAGGTGAGAGGATTCACCAGAGACAGAGTTGGGAGCAGAACAGGCAGATGTACTACAATACACGGTTAAGGGGAGCAGTGAGCGAGAAAGGGAGAGGTCTGCTGCACCATGTGGGTCACCTCCCTGGCCAGGGATCTAACTCATGCCTCAATGGCTGCTGATAGCGTCATAGTGCTGAGACTTAACCCCTTGCGCCACCAGGGAGGCCCTGTTTTTGTTTTTTAACCTAACGGGAGAGAAAAGGGGAGAACCTTCCAGGAGGGGAAGAGAACAGTTAGGGATTGAGGAGATTGAGGAGATCATTTTTTTTCACCCTTAAATTTAGGATATAGTCCTGGAGATCCTAATCCAATGTGTGGTCTGTTACTAAGATTCCTTCCTCCTTCACAGGAGAACCCTGGCCTCCAATTTTTGTCCCTTTAACTCATCAGTAAGGCTGACAAAAGTGTTACTTAGCTTTTCTCTCAACCATCTCTTCCTGAATTGGCAAATGCTGAGTTCAAGTCTCATTCTGCTTTGTACCTTGGTGATGTAATTCTTCACTGTATTTTGTTTCTCTGATATGTAGGCATATTAAACTTATTTTATCCAACATTTCTAGTTGTTCTCTGTGAGATGACTGGTGTGATTTGCCTACTTACCACTAAATGTGAAGTCAGTAAAACAGGTCTTAGGGAAAATGCAATAGTCAGTTTTGAATATCTCAGATAACAATAACAAATAAATTAGACATACAAGGTTCAATGCTAAGAAGAGAGGTTGAGTTAAGTAGGTATATTTGAACACTGATTGATGATAGTTCAGATCTTGGGTGTGAATGGGACTATATGGCAAATACAGAAAAAGACGATTGGAACCAAGTGCTGAGAAATTCCTAAATTTAGAGATTTTATGAAATTTTTTAATTTTTATGAAGTTTATGAAAAAAAGTATTTCATGTGAGAATATTCTGACTAAAAATAAATCACACACAGTTTAAAAATACTATAAAATTTAATATTGCAAATAAATATATATACATTATATAACCTTCAATAGTGTCCATTATCATTATTTAGAAACACTGATATGTATATAAAATATGTAAAAATTACACAGTTGTTGGCTTCTATAAAGCAAGTCACCTATTATACATAAGAAAGCATTAACAAATTCATTATCTAATCTTACATAAATGTTTTATATATACCAAAGCCTATCGCATTCCATAGGGCACAAATATTGGCCAACTTGTTCTAACTTTTTTGTTTTTAACCATTAAGATAGCTTTTTTCAGGTATCTGACTTGTGAGAGCAGAGAGGGAAGTCCAGTGAAGTTATTGAGGACTCACACTGATATTTTTCTAGAATGAAAAAATAAAAACATCTTACTTGATAATACATTTACAAGTCAAAATGGGCTCTAATACAAATGTATATGGAGAGGTTTTGAAGAATAAATTGGATATCCCAGGGGAGGATCAGCCGCTTGTACTGTAAGGTTTCTTAAAAGTAGTGGGTGAGCCTGTATACTATAACGTTCCTCATCATCGTTTGTCGCATAAAGCAATTCCCATGAAAGATTGGCCCACTGACCTCTAACAGCTTCAGCATTTAACTTCCCAACTTGGATCAATAATTCTTGAAGGGTAAGTACTCTCCCAGTGTAAACTCCCTTTAAAGTATAAAAAGAGGGGTGGGGAAGGGAAAAAAGATTGTATTAAAACTTTTATATTTTATATAAACATATATAACTATATACTGTGGAGGAAAAAGTCCATTGTAATTGGCAAATATAAATGTACACGAGTTACTTATTTTCAGAATTAAGAATCACCTTTATTTGGTGACTCCGAATAGATATAAGAGAAGAAATTCTCGGACAGTCATTTCATTCAACAACCAGCGCAACAAAATCTCAGTTCGTTTCCTTTCTATCCCCTCACTCTGACTGACTTCCGCAGTGCATGAACCCTAAGTACTAGTCAGGGAAAAATTACACAATAGGCTCTTACTAAAAATATTTATTGGGATAAAATCATATTGTTGGGAGGTTTTCATTGATTCAAACTTGTTGGTAATCACTGTTCAGATTTTCTATTTCTTCACCATTCAGTTTTGGAAAGTTGTTTCTAGAAACATCCATTTCTTCTAGTTTGTCCAAATTTTTGGCATATAATTGTTCTTAGTAATTGTTTATGATCTTTTGTATTTCTGTGGTATTGGTGATAATGTCTCCTCTTTCATTTCTGGTGTTGAATACTCTTTCTCTTTTCTTGGTTAAGTCTAGCGAAAGGTTTGCAATTTTATCATTTCAAAGAACCAGCTCTTAATGTTTCACTGATTTTTATTACTGATTATCTTTTTAGTTTCTGTTACATTTATTTCTAGTCTGATTTGTCATTTCCTTCCATCTTCTAACTTTGGACTTCTTTTTTCTAGTCCTTGAGGTGTAAAATTTAGATTATTTGAGATATTTGTTTCCCGAGGTAGGCATTTATTGCTATAAATTTCCCTCTTGGAATTACTTTTGCAGCATCCCATAAAATTCTGTTATGTTGTATTTCCATTTTCATTTGTCTCAAGGTACTTTTGTTTTTTTGAAACCTTCATGGGTTATTGGTTGTTCAGTAGCCTGTTGTTTAATTTCCACATATTTGTGAATTTTCCAGGTTTTTTTCCTTATTAGTGACTTATATCTCATACCATTGTGGCCAAAAAATATGCTTAATATGATTTCAATCTTTTCAAATTTAGTAAGATTTGTTTTGTGGCCTAACATGATCTATCTTGAGAGAATGCTCCTTTTACACTTGAGAAGAATGGGTATTCTGCTTTCCAATGGAATATTCAGTGTATGTCTATTGAGTCCATCTGGTCTAAACTCATTTAAAATTGATGCTTCCTTTTGATTTTCTGGATACAAGTCCAATAACACATTGTTACAATTATTTTTATAGTTTATGTCTTAAAAAGAGGTCAAGAGAACTAACACATATTTATTGTTTTGCTACATTAACTTATTTATCATTTCTTGTTCTCTTTATCCCTGTATATTCAAATTATCATCTGTAATTTTTTTAAAAGATTTATTTATTTATATAAGCACTGAGTACAGTCAGAAGCGCAGGAGGGTGAGAGAATTCACCAGAGCCAGAGCGGGAAACAGAGCAGGCAGACTGACGAAATACACTGCTGAGGGGAGCAGTGGGCACGGCAGGAGATGTCTGCACGCCATGTGGGACCCTCGCCGGTGGCCGGGGATCAAACTGGCGCTGCAGAGGCTGCGGGCAGCTTCGCAGCCCAGTGCTCAACCACTGCGCCACCAGAGGAGGCCCTCATCTGTAATTATTTTTGTCTAATACTTTATTCACAAGGATTCCTTTGTATTTTTATATGTTATAGGTCCAACAATATATTATATACATATTACTTTACACAATTACTTTTAATGGTTTCACATTATTATCTGGAGCCATTTACTTCCAGCCCGAAAAACTCCACTGGTATGTCTCATGGCCAGGTCTACTAGCAACAGATATTCTTAGTTTTTGTTTATCCAGGAATGTCTTTATTTTGCCTTCGTTTTTTAAAGAGATCATTTTATTGGATATAGGATTCTTGCTTGATGACTTTTTCTTAAAAAACTATTTGAATTTTGTGTACTCTGGTCTCCACTGTTTGTAATGACAAGTCAGCTATTAATGTAATTAGAATTCCCATAAAATTTAGAAGTCATTTTTGACTTGCTATTTTCAAGAGTTTCTCTTTGGTTTTCAGCATTTCTCCTCTGTGCTTTTTCTACTTCAAGTTCACTGAGTTTCTTGGATGTGTAAGCTAATGTTTTTCAATATATTTGGAGTTTTCGTCATTATCTCTTTGAATAATTTTTCTGCCCTATTCTCTCCTTCCGTACACTAATTGGTATGCAGGTGCAGTTAATGGTGTCCTACATTTCTGTGTAGCTCTCTTCCTTTTTATTCATATCTTTTCTCTTGTTGGACTGCACAGTTTTGATCAAGAACCTTCATTTGCTTATATGCCCTTAGGACTATTTCTAAGATATTAAATGGCTATTTTTAAAAAAAAATAATTTTAATTTTCATTGAGGAGTACATCTGTGGAGCTCTTTATACGGTAAGGCCAAGTGTGGAACCTGCATAGGCTTGTAACATTGAATCTTTATATTGTGCATACTTGATTTTTTTTAATGTAAAAATGAATACTTTATTCATAGAGAGAAGTTAGAGATTTCAGTACTGAATTTATAATTTTTTTCTGCAATATTTGTGACAACTCAAAACCTCAATCACAATCTCTACACAACATTCACTTCCAAATCTTTTTCACAAATATGAACTAAAATTTTTTTTTATATATTTCTTACATCATTTTTCATTTTTGCACAAGGTGTGCATTTTCATCTTGGTTATATTCCCCATACAATTGCACCCCCCTTATTTTGACCCCAATCCCTCCACTCCCTGCCCCCCCCCCCCGCCATAGTGTGTCTCTGGTTTATATATGCTGGGATCATGCTCAGTGAAATAAGCCAGAAAGAAAAAGAAAAATACCAGATGGTCTCACTCATAGCAGGAGTTTAGAAAACCTAAATAAAGGACTACACTTGATACTTTATAAGCAATGAGAAAAAGCACTAAATCTTAGGGGAAAAATCATCACTTATTTTCACCCATCAGATTTGCTTCAAATAGAATATATAGATGTCAACAAAAGAAATACTTGGCCATTTACAAATTAATTTTTCTTCTAGGAATCAAATCCAAAGTGGTAATTTATACACTTGAATTTGGGATAGGAATACAACCCGTTTAGTCAAATATGCTACCGTGAAATACATATACTTGGCTATCTTACAGGTAAGTTACTATACAGTGGCTACACAAATTTTTTTATCAGCTATGAGATTTGTAAAAAATAAATGAATCATTTTAGGATTGGACTATGTTGGCCATAAATTCATGATAATACATGCCTTAGAATGTAATTAATATATCCTTATCTAGAATGTTATAACTCTACCATTTAGTTCAAACACTTTATAACTGATTTTCATTATTAAAGGTTAATGTATGAAAATGTTTTAAAAAATATTTTTAACCTTACCATATTAGGATCATACCCCAGAGAAAACAAATAGGGTTTTTCTTGTAAAATTGCTTCCTTCCACTTTTCATCAGATGTCAAACCAATGTACCAGTCACTTTCATATTCCTCAAGGTAGGTAGTCATCTCTTTAAAGTCTTCTATTGGACCTAAACTTGCTTTATCAATCATCAGTTTCAGAGCATATCTGAAAAATGGAGGAACAAAGAATTTTAGATTCTGTAAATCACATTGCCAGATGAAATAGATTTGTTCAATAAACATTTTTAAGACACTGTACTGAAATCATGCATATTTCAGATAAAAAGATGAGGGAAAAATGAATGCAGTAAAAGAAAAATAAAACAAGGAAGTACAAATTAATGTGCTCAATATAATGATATATACTAAGATTTTTTTTTTTTCATTTTTAGGAAAATGATTATTTTTTAAAGTTAAAAATGAAGGCGTATTTTCAGTTACATATAAAAAACCCCTACATTTTCCTGCCCTTGCTAAAATGTACATGTAATAAAAAGGAATTACCTGAAAGCTTTCAGGGTTAGCTGGAACAATTCAGGTTTTTCTGTGAGCCAATCCAAGGCAACAGACCAAGGCAAAACACCATTGTAAACTCTCAAAATATGACCAGGACTAGGAACCATATTGTCTATTCCAAATAAACTAAAATAACAAGTCATTACTGCGTGAACATAAAAGTCTTTTAAAACTCTGTCCTTTGCAATTTCTTCTAGTACATTTGAGGCATTTTCTTGTGAATGAAAGCATTCCAACTGCCTTAAAACAAATTGGTACCAGTCTTCTGGAAATAATGAACTCATCTCTCTCATTTTGGAATTAGGCAAACAGTTAGATGTCCATTCTTCAGGTAAGCTTAACAAGTGAGAATGAGAACAACTGAACTCCATGAGAGGGATATATACCATGTCTTCTTGTTTTCCTTTGTCAACAGCAGGATATCCCAATATGACTGTTTTATAAAGATTGTTTTCAGGAACTGTGCCTATAGAATGGTTATCAACTATCTGTGAGTTAATGGATCCTGGAATAGGCAAATTTATACTAGGGAAACCTTTCAATTGATTTTTTTCTTCTTTTCCTTTTTGAATAGTTGGCTCATCACCAAAAATATTATCATCAGACCAGTCATCAAAATTTTCTGAATTTAAACTATCTGTGTCATCTGAGGATTGGGTGTGTGGTGAAGTGTTCAGAGCAGGCAGGATTATGAGAGATGCTTTCCCTTTATTTTCAGTGTTGAGGACAGTCTCCTGCAGACTTGGCCTTCGGGAGCAGTACTGAACAAGTATCCACACAAGTACTTTCACAAGGTCACCTTTAAATTCTTTTAAGTTATCATGAGAATCAATTATCCCAGATAAGACATTCCGGGCATCAGAATATGTTTTCACAGGCAAAACAGTACAGGGTGTCAAGATATTTCCAAAGTGTTCGTTAATGGAACATACTCCTACATATTCTTCTTGTTCAAAGGCACTTTCAAAAACTTCATCAACTTTTTGTGCTTCAGCTGTATGACAGGATGTCTCTTGTAATTCTAACCCCTAAAGAGGAAACAAAAAATACTTGGGCTTATGATCATTTATTTTGCAGAGAAAAGCAAGTAGTTTTGAAAATTTCCACAGAGCTCTAAAAATATGAAAAAAAAAAAATTCTTTAACTCAAGAGCTACACCTTAAGGTCAAATTTAATGGCACTTAATACTTTGATAAGAAACAATGCTACCATTTTAAAAGAAATTATAATATTTCACTAGAAATTGGAGTTAAAAAACATTACTGAGTCACATTTTTGAGATCCTCAATTAGATAAGGATAAAAGGACAGGAAGAAAAAGAGACAGATATTTCATTATGTTCTATTATGTTCTATTCTACAATCAATATTAGCCTACTATTAATATGTGCATATGGACATATACTATTAAAGTACTTAGGCATTTGCACAATTAAAAGGACTTTTTTTTTCAAACTGAGTTATTAAATATTTGATGTGTACATATTAGGTAAAATTTATGCATCTACTATAAAAATGCGAGGTTTCAAATGCACATTGACCTTAATGTTAATACAGCAGTAAGAATAGCCATGTTCTAAAATCATTATCCATATTAAACGATCCTGAAAACGGCCCAAGTAATGAGATCCAGGTAAGAGGAGACCTAAAAAAAATTAGAAAAACAAAGGAATTCATTGTTCATCTTGTTTTATTTTATCAAGTGAATCTTCAAAATTGATAACACACTTGGAGCTGATCTGTAACTCCTTCCACCCTTTATTATGTCAAGAATAGAAACAACTATTCATTGCATATCGTGAGGCATTAAATTAAGCTCTTTACAAAAGAATGGTTGGAAGAGAAAAGTTATAGTTATTACAAGAATATAAGGATTTTTTTTCCAGAGAAACATCAAATTATTACCTGCTATATAAAATCCTAAATACCCATTAACCATATTAGTAAAGTATTAAATACATAAAACAATTTCACATCAATGATTTAAAACATTTTGTGGTGTTAAAAATTTACATGAAGTGCTACTTACCCATAATGTACAAACATTTAGAACTTAGTTTTTCTTTTAACATTATGTTGCTGAGATTTGCCCATGTTGAAGGCAAACAGCTCAGTCATTCATAATTGCTGTTGAGAAGTCATTGCATGCATTTAGCTGAATTTGAATATTCATTTCCCTGCTAACAGACATTTCCTATGTTCCCAATTTTCACTATTATAAATATTGCAACAGAAATTATCTTTGTGCAAGTATGTTTGTACAAGTATGCTTGTACAGAAAGAGTAACAAAACTATTATTATCTTTTGAAAGATCTGTTTTTCAAAGTTGGCCTTTGGCATATAGGAACTTGTATTTCAAGAGTTCTTACTACCCAAACTGGGAAAAAGTTTATGTTTGTGCTTAATGTGTTCAAACGATGAAGTTCACGTTAAACTTGCTTTCTTTTGGGGAGTCTAGATTTTTGGTACATGCTAGGCACAGGGTGCTACATACCAGCTCCTGAAAAAAGCTTCAGATATTGAGTCTTAAATGAGCTTCCCTGATAGTCACTTATCACCCAAGTTGTTACAGTGTGTTTCTGGGGAATTAAGCACATTCTGTGTGATTCCACTGGGAGAGGTGGCCTGGAATCTTATACCTGATCTCTTACTCCCTGTGAGTTTTCCCTTCACTGGTTTTGTTCTGCATCCATTTCTTATAACAAATTTTAGCCATGAGAATAACTGCACACTGAGTCCTGTGAGTCCTCCCAGTAGATCATCAAATCTGGGAATGGTCTTGGGGACTCCTACAATAAATGTGAATGAGTTTCTCTAGAAATGCAATCTAAATCCTAACCCCTGGGCTGTGTGATATGTAAATCTTTACTCACACAAATACTCTTTAAGGTGGTTATATGAATTTAATTCCCTGCCAACAGGACTTGAGATTCCTTTTTCCCATGCCCTAGTCAATTTTTGACAATATTCAACTTTTTACATTTTCACCAGATGTTTGTTAGATATTACCTCACCCCTCCTTTCATCTCCCTACCAGGAATAATGTACTTCTTAGTTGAATGTAATTGATTTGATAATACAGTATAGCTTCTATCTAACTGTTAAAGTATTTATTATTTAAGATGTCAGTTTACCCTCACAGGTATTTTAAAAACTAGCATTGCGTTATATAATAAAAAATTAATTAGAACTGGAAAAAAGTAACAGTGTAGAATAGTCCCCAAAAGCGTTATTCAAAACGAATACTAGAGGGCGGAGCAACATGGCGGCGAGGAGACGATGCGAGTAAGATCTCCCATTAAAAAAAGTTAATAAGGAGGAAAAGCGGCAGGTTCCAGTGAGAACTGGGACATGGAAGATAAACAGGTGACTCCAGCAAACTGCCTGAAGAAGAAAGTTGCCATAAAAGAGGACCAGAAGGGAGGAAAGCACAGAACCCTGCTCTCCTCCCCCGCCCACAAAGTCGGCACTCTCCGACCGGCAGAGAGGAGGAAAACAACAAACTAAAACGACCAACAAGAACAAAGGACGCAGCAAGTGGGACTGTGAGTGGAAAGGAACTATTGCAGCCACCACACCCCGTGAACGGGAGCCGTGGCGGTGAGCGAACGGCTCCGGGCGCCATTGGAGAACAAAGAGACTCTGGAGGAGGCCTGGCAGAAAAGCGGAGCGCTTGGCGCGCTTGAAAACCAAACGCGGATCGGGATCGAGGCTGCCCAGGTCCCCGCGCCTGCGACCTAGGCTTGCAGGGAGACGCGCGGAGGCCCTCACTGAGGTGAAAGTCCCTCACTGAGTAAGCAGGAACCAGGCGCCCAGGCACGGGAGCGGGTGCAAAAGGCGCCATTCCCGCGCCACTGAACTGGGCTACAGCCCACGTCCTGGACCTGAGGGCTTTGGAACTGAGACCCGGGGCACGAAATTTGGGGCGTGGGTTCTCCACGACGGGGGGGGGGCACAAGGCAGACACAGCACCCAAAAGCCATTGAGGTTTACCCTACCATTCTCACTCTGTTCCCTGTCCCACGGGGGGGGGCGTCGAAAAGCAGCCCCCCAAGGACAATAGGAGAGATCTCTGGCGCCACCTAGCAACCAGAAAAAAAAGTCACTAACACCCCATAGAACAGGGAAATTTCTTAAGAAAAGACTTCTTGAAAAGGGCAGAAGGCTTCTGGAGGACCCAGTGGCCAGCTGGGAAGTTAGCCCACGCCAGGCCCCTTCCAACCAGCAGTCTGAGCCCACAGAGGGAGAAGGCACCCATGTCCGGGGCAGACCGGGCGCGCAGAAGAGTGTGCCTGAGACTGGATGCACAGGGACTGCGTCCCGCTTTGCCATTTTAGATCAGGGACATTTCTTCAGTAAAGACTGCCTAAAACCAGCAGAAAGCTCCCCCAGAAGCCAGAGATGGCTCCTGGAGGAGCCAGAGGGGAGCGGAGAAGTTCACCCAAGATGCCGGCCAGTCCGAGCAACACAGTGTCCCAATGCATACGACAAATTAGAAAACAGACAGTAGGGAGTAGAAGAACCACACGCAAACTAACAACTCCTCAGGAAAGAAGCACACCACAAAAAGAAAACCACCCCCCAGATTGCAACGACAGTAACTTGGAAGAACTTCTGAGCCTTCCAGAAAGAGAATTTAAAATTGCCATGATTAAAAAAGTGACAGAAGTCATAAAGGAAAACAATGATCAGAAGAAGGAAATTGAGTCCCTAAAGAGGGAAAACAATGGTCAGAAGAATGAAATTGAGTCCCTAAAGAGGGAAGTAAAAGAAATGCAGGAGATCAAAGAATTAATGGAGGAACTAAAGAACTCTGGGAAAAGCAATGAAAGCAGAATAGATGAAATGGAAGAACCAATAAGTACTCTTGAAGACACAGAAATAAAAAGAACCAAAACAGAAAAGGAAAGAGAAGTACGAAGGAAAAAGAACGAAGAAAGACTTCGGGAACTATCTGACTCCATGAGGAAAGGAAATATAAGAGTTATAGGAATCCCAGAAGGAGAGGAGAGAGATGTAGGAACAGAGAAAATATTCCAGGAGATAATTGAAGAGAACTTCCCAAATGCGAAGAAGGAGCTGAAAATTGATATACAAGAAGCAAGAAGAACACCAAACTTCGACGACGAAAGGAAAAATACAGCAAGACACATAATAGTAAAGCTCCCAAGAATCCAGGACAAGGAAAAAATAATGAAGCTGACAAGAGGGAAGAAACAGATAACATTCAAAGGAAAACCAATCAGGCTGACATCAGACTTCTCTGAAGAAACACTACGGGCAAGGAGAGAGTGGAGGGACATAGTCAACAGATTCCAAGAAAACAGATGCCAATCAAGAATACTCTATCCCGCAAAGCTCTCCTTCCTCTATGAAGAAAGAATAAGGACCTTCCCAGACAAACAGAAACTCCGGAATTTCATTACGACTAAACCCCCACTCCAAAAAATACTACAAGGAATCCTAAAGCCAGAACCTCAGAGGGACGAATAACAACGAAAGAAGACCAAAAAAAAAAGTTATTAAAAGAATAAATAAAATCAAAGGAAAGACAAACACAATGGCAAATACAGATGCTAACATATCAATATTAACTCTAAATGTAAATGGACTAAACTCTTCAATAAAAAGACACAGAGTTGCAGCCTGGATTAAGAAACAAAACCCAACCTTTTGCTGTCTCCAGGAAACACATTTAGCTACAAAAGATAAAAATAGGCTCAAAGTTAAAGGATGGAAAACAATCCTACAAGCAAATGGACCAAAAAAGAAAGCAGGAACAGCTATACTTATATCAGATAAAACAGACTTCAAACTCAAAAAAATAAAAAGAGACCCCAATGGTCACTGCATTATGATCAAGGGACAATACTTCAAGAAGAAATAACACTCATTAACATATACTTACCAAACGAAGGAGCACCAAAATATATCAGACAACTGTTGTCCTCTCTGAAAACAGACATCAGAGAAAACACATACGTAGTGGGAGACTTCAACACACCACTATCAACAATGGATAGATCAACAAGAGAAAAAATAAGTAAAGAAACTAAAGTTCTAAATAAGGACCTAGAGCATATGGGCTTAACAGACATCTATAGAACACTAAACCCAAAAAAAACGGAGTACACATTTTTCTCAAGCGCACATGGATCATTCTCCAGGATCGATCACATACTGGGGCACAGGACAAACATCAACAGATACACCAAGATTGAAATCATACCAACCATCTTTTCTGACCATGAAGGCATCAAACTAGAAATAAACCATAAAAAGAAGGCAAGGAACTATCCTACCTCATGGAGATTAAAAACCACACTACTGGAAGACCACTGGACTAACAAGGAGATCAAAGAAGAAATTAAAAAATTCTTTGAATTAAATGACAAGGAGGACACCAATATCCTAAATGTATGGGATGCAGCAAAAGCAGTAATAAGAGGAAAATATATAGCAATAGAAGCTCACATCAAAAAACAAGAAAGAACTCAAAGAAACAACCTAATCTCGAAGCTCAGAGATCTAGAAAAAGAACAACAAAAAAACCCCAAAACTAATAGAAGAAAAGAAATAATAAAAACCAAAGCAGAAATAAATGAAATTGAAACTAAAAAAACAATCCAAAAGATCAATGAAACCAAGAGTTGGTTCTTTGAAAAAATCAATAAAATAGACAAACCCCTAGCCAGGCTCACAAAGGAAAAAAGGGAGAAAGCACAAATAAACAGGATCATAAATGAAAGAGGAGAAATCACAACGGACACAGCAGAAATCAAAAGAATAATCAGTAACTACTATGAACAGTTATATGGAAACAAGTTCAACAATCTAGAGGAGATGGACAAATTCCTACAACTCTACAATCACCCAAAGCTAGATAGAGAAGAAATAGAACACCTAAACAGACCAATTACAAGCAGCGAAATTGAAATGGTAATCAAAAACCTCCCCAAAAACAAAAGCCCAGGACCTGATGGATTTACAAATGAATTCTACCAAACATTCAGAGACGAATTAGTGCCTATCCTTCACAAACTCTTCCAAAAAATTGAGAAGGAAGGGACAATACCAAACACGTTCTATGAAGCCAACATTACACTAATACCAAAACCGAATAAGGACAACACAAAAAAGGAAAACTACAGGCCAATCTCCCTAATGAACACTGATGCAAAAATCCTCAATAAAATTTTAGCTATCAGAATCCAACAATGTATCCATAAGATAATTCACCACGACCAAGTAGGATTCATTCCAGGGACACAAGGATGGTTTAACATCCGAAAATCAATCAATGTTATCCAACACATCAACAAAAAGAAATATAAAAACCATATGATAATATCAATAGATGCTGAGAAAGCTTTCGACAAAGTGCAACACCCATTCATGATAAAAGCCCTTGAAATTCTTGGGATACAAGGAACATACCTCAACATCATAAAGGCCATCTATGACAAGCCAACAGCCAGTATCATTCTCAATGGTGAAAAGCTGAAAGCAATTCCATTAAGATCTGGAACAAGACAAGGATGTCCACTCTCACCACTGCTTTTCAATATAATACTGGAAGTCCTAGCCAGAGCAATAAGACAAGAGAAAGACATACAAGGAATCCAAATAGGAAAAGAAGAAGTCAAACTATCACTATTTGCAGATGATATGATAATATACATAGAGAATCCCAAAAACTCCACAGAGAAACTAATTCATCTCATCAATCAATTCAGTAAAATGGCAGGATACAAAATCAACACGCAAAAGTCAGTAGCCTTCCTATACACAAACAATAAATCTGAAGAAGAAGAAATAAAAAAAAAACATCCCTTTTATTATCAAAACAAAAAAAATCAAATATTTGGGAATAAATCTAACAAAAAGGTAAAGGACCTATACAAAGAAAACTATAAAACACTGTTAAAAGAAATAGAAGAAGACACAAAGAAATGGAAAGACATCCCCTGCTCATGGATTGGAAGAATAAACATTATTAAAATGGCCATCCTACGAAAAGGAATATACAGATTCAGTGCTATTCCAATCAAAATTTCAATGTCATTCTTCAAAGAAATAGAACAATTATTGATGAAATTCATATGGAATCACAAAAAACCCCGAATAGCCAAAGCTCTCCTGAAAAAAAGAGAAGGAAATGGAGGCATCACACTCCCAGACTTCAAACTATACTACAAAGCCATAATCATCAAAACTGCATGGTATTGGAACAAGAACAGACATACAGACCAATGGAATCGAATAGAAAATCCAGAAATAAACCCACAGATTTATGGTCAACTAATCTTTGACGAAGGAGCAAAGACTATGCAATGGAGCAAAGAAAGTTTGTTCAATAAATGGTGCTGGGAAAACTGGGTTGCTACATGCAAAAGAATGAAGCTTGACCACTACCTCACACCATACACAAAAAATCAACTCAAAATGGATTAAAGAACTAGACATAAGACCTGAAACCATAAAATACATAGAAGGAAATATAGGCGAAACACTACGTGATTTGCATATCAAAGGCATCTTTACAGACACATCACCCAAAGCAGTGATAGTGAAGACAAAGATAAACAGCTGGGACTACATCAAATTAAAGAGCTTCTGCACAGCAAAAGAGACAATAACAAAAACAAAGAGAAACCCCACCAACTGGGAGAACATTTTTGCACACAACACTAATGATAAAGGACTGATCACAAAAATCTGCAAAGAGCTGATGAGACTCAGCAACAACAAAGAAAATAATCCAGTCAAAAAATGGGCAGAAGAGCTAAAAAGAAACTTCTCTGAAGAGGAAATGCAAATGGCCAACAGACATATGAAAAAATGTTCAACATCACTTGTAATCAGGGAAATGCAAATCAAAACTACCATGAGATACCATCTTACAACAGTGAGAATGGCACATATTAAAAAAACTAGCAACAGCAAATGTTGGCGAGGGTGTGGAGAAAAACGAACTCTTCTACACTGTTGGTGGGAGTGCAAACTGGTCCAACCACTATGGAGAGCTGTGTGGAGATTTCTGGACCTTCTAAACATAGAGCTTCCATATGATTCAGCAATTCCACTCCTAGGTATTTACCCAAAGGACACCGAAACATCAATTCCAAAGAACACCTGCACCCCTATGTTTATAGCAGCACTATTTACAATAGGTAAGCTTTGGAAACAGCCCAAATGCCTAAAAATAGATGACTGGATCAAGAAGATGTGGTACATATACACCATGGAATATTACTCAGCATTCAAAAAAGATAAACACATGCAATTTGCAGCAACATGGATGGCGCTGGAAGGGATCATGCTCAGCAAAGTAAGCCAAAAAGAAAAAGAAAAATACTGGATGGTCTCACTCATAGCAGGAATCTAGAAAACTTAAATAAGGGACCAGGAAAATGAATAACTATAAGAAAGTGAAAATCAAAATCAACAAAAAACTATGAACCAGAGACACTTTTTGTGGGGGGGGCGGGAGGGGAGGGATTGGGGCCAGAATGGGGGGTTTGCAATTGTATTGGGGAATATAAAAATAAAATTTATTATTAAAAAAAAAAAAAACAAACAAACCTATGACAAATTCCTTTTCATATAAAGCCTAATTTGTTACCCAGGAAAAAAAAAATGAATACTAATTAATGATTATTTGTAAACAATTTGTACTACAAAGATAAAGTGTTTCCTAAATTATCTCACATAATAGAAAATTAGAAAAGCATAACTCAAGTAAGCATTTGATTAAAACTTTTATTTTAAATTGCTACTCTGCTTGGTATTAGTTTGCCAGGAAGGTACTAGACATTTCTAAAACAAATTTCAGGGGCTAAAGCATTTGGTAGGAGACAATACACTTTTGACATCAGCTTGTACCTTATTGAAAGCTAGCCTTGAGAAGTATAATATAGTTGATTTTAGTAAATACACAATGAAATTATAAAACTATCTAAAATTAGTTCATTCTTGTCAAAAATGTATTTTCTTACTCATATTTGCACAGCATTTCATTTTTGGAGGTTACTCATCATTAACCAAAATTTTTGTTATGCCCTGTCACTGGTCAGACTATTTAAATTGAAATACAACTATTAAGATATGAGTAAACTCTTTTAAGCTCTACAGTCTGACATTATGTAAAGCTAGTGTTCATTCTTTATGGCATTTACTTGACAATAAACTCCTTATACATTCACAGAAATTTTTGGAAATAAGATGTTATTATATTTCAATGGTGGGACGATAATCTGATTTTATTCAAGAAAATATTAAAAAAAAAATTGTCAAGTCACCTTACTGAAGTTTTTCGTTGGTATTTTTATTTTATAATTTTACCTCAAAATAAGTAACAGAGATATACTTCTATTTTATACATAGTCTTTCTGCATATACATCAAAGTATTTAAATGTGTATAGGACAGGATCAAGAGTTTTTCCTTCGTGTTCATTTTTTATACTTTCAATATATTATTGAGGATTTTCTTACGCACAATCCATTCACTTACCTAAACTTCCAGCTGCCATAGCAGACTGCAGTGCAGTGATCAAACTTGGGACCATCTGGTAGTAGTACATTGTATCTGCACACACACAGGCTGAGGCACCCACTGCTCCTGGCCAACTCTGATTTGGTCGGGGAAACCCCACCAAGAACAAAGGAAGGGTGAAGAGTGGAAGTAAGGGTGAAGAAAGAAGAGTAGAAAAAACTATGAAGATCAACACAAATGGTGAGAAGACAATGTTGAGTACACATAAACTGGTGGTTGATTTTCGACGCTTTTTCTCTGTCCATGATGCCAAAAGTACAGTCACAGCAAACTGCAATTTAGAGATGAATTGAATCAGACGATCACGTAGGATGCCAACCTGTAGAAGTATAAAATGACTTTTTTTTATTATGGAAGACTTTTCATGAAGTTTCATGGTCAAATCAAAATCACAAAGAGATAGCAGTTCACACCCACTAGGAATGATTATACTGAAAAAGTCAGATAATAATAAGTCTCAAAGACGGTACAGAGAAATTAGAATATTCATATATTGCTGGGTGGGAATAAAATAGTTCAACCACTTTGGAATAAGGTGTGGCAATATCCTGAAGTTTTAAATATAGTTACTTTACGACTGAAATTCCAATCCTAGATATATATACCCAAGAAAAATGTAATCATATGTCCACACAAAAGTTTGTACACAAATGTTCATAGAGCATTATTTGTAATAGTCAAAAAATAGAACTAACCCAGATGTTTATTATCTGATAAATGAATAAATCAAATGTGGTATGTCATGCTAAGGAATATTATTTGGCAATAAAAAAGAAGTGGGCATGAGTAAATTATATATAAAAGGGGTCAATTATATGGTTAAGGATGGAATTAGGCTTTTAGTAGTAAACTTAAAATTAGAATTTACAAATGTTGATTAATAATGATGTACACCAGAAACCTATGTTATTATAAACCAATGCTACTAAAAAATTGTTTAAAAAAGTCAAACACTGATACATGCTACAAATGGATGAACTCTGAAAAACATATAAATGAAAGGAACCAGATGTAAAACATCATTTATTATATACTTCTGTTCATGTGAAATGTCCAGAATAGGCAAATCCAGAGAGATTAAAAAGTAGGTGAGTAGTTGTTGGGGCTGGTTTGGGGGGTGGAATGGGATAGAGATTGGGAATGGGGAAAATTTGGTGATGTGTATGAGGTTTGGGATGTTGAAAATATTCTAAAATTAGATTGTGCTGATGGCTACAAATATCTAACTATATATCATTCAGCTGTATACTTTGAGTGAATTTTCTGGTATGTGAAATATATCTCAATAAGGCTGCTAAAACATATATTTACCAGTAAGAGTCTGATTCCTGTATCCAGGCTTCTGTTCCACCACATGTCTGTACTGGAGACAAACAAGTGTACTGCTGATACAATGACTGTCTCCAATAAAGCATTTTCTGTATTCTGCCATACCTACAGTACACAAATTATCTCCTTTATAAGGTAGAATTTTATCATGTAAGCAAACTATTAAACAAAAATCAGTTATTAGCAATAGGAAAATGATGATAAGCAAATATTAGGATTACCATTCTAAAAGCTCTTGTGAATCCAATGGAGACAGACACAGAATGGAGTTTTTGTAAGGAGCTGTCCAATGAAAGAAATGCTAGCACAGCAAAAGGTGACACTAAGAAAATAAAAAAAAAAAAAGACAAATTTAATAAAGGCAAAGTAACCCCATCCACCATATTTTATTTTGGCCACTGACTCTTTTATGAGCATATCTAAGTAAATTAATTTTTATAAACCCAATTAACAAACTAAAACATAAAAAAAAACTATACAGATAACATAAATATGGGCATTCTGTAACATTTTTGCACACAGGTTTGATTTTATCTTCCTACCTAGATTTAATACAAGATTAGGAGATTTTATCTTCCTACCTAGATTTAGTAAAATCCGTCTCACAACACCAATCTTCATGAGCCTTGTTTGCTTTTCTAAGAATAACGTCATGGTATGCACATCCTTTGGATAGAAAGGGTTTCGGAAAATTCCAAAGATATAGACACCTTGAATTTCTCTAAGTATCCACAGTATTGTAAGTAGTATTATCAAAAGATAGCTAACAACAGCCTGGGGATTGTTTTTGGAAATATTTGAGAAACCCGCAAAGTGATGCAGCAAGCTTGTCTCTAAGAGAGCCAAGACTAATATGGTAATGTAGAAAAGGCATTCCTTCCAAGTAAACTGTTTTTCTGAACCGATAGGTAAGGCCTTAGATTTGGTTCCAACTCGGGGTCCGATCACACTGTGTTTGAAGACAAAACCCATCTCTCTTAGGTTAAGACTCAGTAAGAATCCAAGTCCAGTCATGAAAAGAACCACACCAATAGTGCTGGGAATAAAATACGATATTACAGCTGTTCCAGCAGAAATGATGAACATTATTAATAACCTGCAGAGGAAAAAAAAAAAAACAACTTTCTTGAAAAGAGAAGATGTGTTTTAAGAATAAGTCACGTGTAATTTTAATATTTAAATTAATTACCAGAGGTGGGTTGACACAGATGAGCCTCCAAGGCCAAACTCTAAAAACTGTTCCATTGCCCATAAGAAAAGTGCATCGGGTGGGGGCAAAATCCCAAGTGCCCACAAAAAGGGTAAAAATATAAACAAAATATGTAAAATCTGGTTCATCTGTTCTAATGCTGGTATATTTACTATAAACCTATAAGAAAAAGAAAACAAAATCATGAAAACAATGTCTAGAAGAGGATATTTCTAGTTAAAAAACAATCCACACACTACCATACCCTTGCCTCAACAAAAGAACACTTACAGAATGCTCCTAATCCTGATTTGCAAAAGATCATAGAATGGGGGGGGTGGGGAGTAGAGAATGGGAATGGATAATAATTATTAATGTGTGCGAGATTTCTTTTGAGGACATTGAAAATGTTATGAAATTAGATAGTGGTGATGGCTGAAAATTCTAACTATATACCATTCAACTTTAAGTTGATGAATTTTGTGAACATTGTTCTTCCCCTGTACTAGCAACTATCCCTATTGTGTACAAATTTAGCATTTAAAGAATATGTGGATTCAAGTGTGGAAAAAAGTAATTAAAAGTAATTTACTGAATAAAACTGAATTTAGGGATTATAAAACTGAACAACTCATCCCAAGGCAAAAATATTTTTCCTCTGAATGTCCAAACCACAAAGGTAAATTTCTACCAATGATTCTTTTAGAATTTAAAATATTTACCAGTGATTCTTTTAGAGCTTAAAATGTTTAAATAAGAAATTGCAAGTAACTCTGCCAAGGGCAGAGTGCTTCCAAAATAAAATGGTAGGACAGGCATAGGCTGGAAATTCCCATTCTAAAAAGGAGAAAGAGGAAAGGAGGAAGAGGTGGCAGATTCCAAAGAAGTCCAAAGGTTAGCAAGGAGGATTCTATTAGATCTCAAGTCTCTTTGTTTTCCTACTCTGTCCTCAGCAATGTCACCCAAACATCTGTAGCTGGGGGTCCAGCCCCATTGCTTTGCAGGGTGGTACCAGCCCCAACTCCCAGCAGAGGACTTCTAGTTTGTTGAAACCAAGGGAATGCCCTGATAATCTCTCAAAGATTTTGGGAGTAATTTTTCCCTCTTGCTAAAAGAATAGTACATGTTTTAAGCCAAACTGTTCTATCACCCTCTTCCTGTCAAATCTAAGATACAGTGTTTGTTCGTTTTGTCTTTTCTCTATCCCCGCTCAGTTCAAACTGGCAGTGCTTCTGTTGGAATATCTCCATAAACTCTCTATTGAATAGTTTAATCATACCCTCAGTGTTCTTTTCAGAACATGCTTTCTCATTTTTGATATGAATAAGCCAGCAGTTTCCCAAAAATTTCAAGTTCTAGTTCCTTTCTACTTAGTTCCTTCTTTAATTCATTTCTCTTTTTTTATATTTTAATATAAGCAGCCAGGAGGAATCAAACTGTTCCTTCAATAATTTGCTTAGAAATTCCCTCAGCTATATATTCAATTTCCTCTGTATCAAGTTCCACTTTCCATAAAAAAATAGAAAACAGTTCAACCAAGTTCATTGCCAACTTAGAATAAGGTTTGTCTTAGCTCCAGTTAACATGGAAACTGCCTAAAACCTCACCAGAATTGCCCATAATGTCCATATATCTAGCAGGCACTTCAAATTCTACCACTTTCCACCCATTTTCCAGTTCCAAAGGCACTTTTCTACTTTTAAGTATTTGTTACAGGAGTACCTCTCCTCTTGGTATCAAAATCTTAGCCATCTTGGGCTGCCAAAACAAAATACCATAGACTGGACAGTTTAAACAAGAGATTTATTCTCATAGTTCTAGAGGTTAGAAGTCTGAAATCAGAGTGTCAACGAGGTTGGGTTCTGGTGAGAACTCTCTTCCTAACTTAAATAGAGTTGCCTCTGCTCTATATTAATAAGGTGAAATGAGAGCTCTCAAGCTCTCTAGTATTTCTTTATAAAAGGACACTAATCCCATCAGACTAGGGTGCCACCTCATTATCCTAATTACTCCCCAAAGACTCCATTTCCAAATACCATCACATTGGAGGTGAGGATTTTAACATATGAATTTTGAGGAGACACAAACATTCAATCCATAATATGTCTGTACATTTCTACCTAAACACTAACCCAGGAAAGAGAAAGTTGCAATCTAAGGAAACAGAGATAGCAAAGTCAGATTTAGAGAGACAAGCAAAAGAAATTATCGATCTTGTTATAACATTTTCTATTTTTCTTTTGTAGCAAAATGATTAAAAACCAACATTCTTCTATATAGTCATAACAAAATTAGAGATGTTATTCTAGTCACCTTAAATTCACTCAATCTGTGCATAATATTCATATGTATCAATATTAAACTCTTTATTTCTCCCTCATATGACAGTTCTATCTCTTTTCAGAGATTTCAGGCAGATTTTGTCATAGATTCATAGGCACTATTTAAAGCAAAACACAACATTGAAACTTTGTTCATTTTTCTTATCTTCAATAATTGAATTACTGCTTCAATGAATGAATGTCTAACAGAGATTAGTCCTCAGGTATTAAGCATCAAAACAACTGGTCACTCAATGGTTTGTTCTTGATGACTTTCATCTTTTAATAGTAATAAGAGCGCTTTTACTGTGCATGCTTAAAAAAAGCAAGTTATAAAGTATTTGACAGCTTATTACCTGTGTGCAAGATCTACGAAAACAAAGAAAAAAATATAAAGAGGTCTCATAAGAGGAGTGATTTCATAAGTATCCTGTGTTTGGAAAGTCGCAGTCTCCGTAGCTGTGTTTACAATTAATGAATATTCTGCTATACATAATGTCAACCATCCAAAAACAAATAGCAGAGCAGTGCCTCCCACACTGCTGTACAGCAATGTTATTCTGCTTGGGAGCAGATACCATGTTCCAAGACCACATACTAATCCAGCAAGAACAGAATGAAAAATTATATTGGCTATATATTTCTTGCCAGGAATTAGAAATTTGATAGTTTCAGCACCAGCACAACTTGTAAATTCATGTTCATCTTCCTCTGCCAAGATATCTGTAGTTAGCATTCTTTCTACTGTTACTGATTTGCTTCTGGCATATAAACTTGTGAGCTGGATGATAAATGCAGTTAAAAGCATTAGTCCACCTGAAAGTGCTGCTGTGTAATAGTCCTCCAGGATGCTGAATTGGTACAGAAGTGTTCCTATTCCACCCAACACCCATGGCATTAGAAAAAGGATAATTTGATTAACATATATGTAAGAAGGGGCACAATAGCCTAATTTGAGACGGGGGCCTCCAAGAATAGTTTGTGGAAAGCGCTTCAGAAAGAAGTCCTGTTTGTAATCATTCAGCAAAGGCACATCTGGACTCATTCTTCTCACTCAGTATTCTGAAAGTCACATCATCTTCTGTAACACAGCAGTCTCTAAGAGAAAGAAACAAGTCATTATGTGAAAATGTCATACTCAAAACACTGCAGGAAGGAGGGTCTCCTGATAACTCTATTTTATCTCCTTAGTTTGTTGTTTCAAGAGGATTTATTATAACTTTACTTCTCTGGCTTCTCCCCACTTTCTAACATAAGGTTGGCACAAAACAAGTTCTTGCTAAGTTATTTTACTTGAAAATAATCTCATACAGTATTAATTGATATAAGCTTTAATATGTAAATTAGATTTTAAGCTAATTCACTTTTTTAAGATTTCAAGGTTACAGGAAAGTTCAAAAAAGTCATTACTTTCAACTCAAATCTGCCAGTGATTTAACCAATCATTTTCTTGAGAGTTGGGTTGTTTGTTTTTTAACTTCTTCCTCTCTTACAAGAGTCTGCAACTTTATCTGTAAAGGGTCAGATAGTAAATATTTTAGGCTTTGTGGACCATGTGGTCTCTGTTACAATTATCCAAATAGGATGTCAGCCAGATTTAGCCTGTGGGCCTTAGTTTGCCAATCCTTACTTTATAAAATAAGGATATTCTCTTAATTTCCTTGAATTGATAGTGAAATTGAAATGGAAAACAGAAACAGAAATACTAAGTTATTATTAACATTGCTTAACAATTATAATGAATTCATGATTTTCTAGTAATCTAAAAGTCAAATCCTGCTAAAATAGTAGCATTTCAGAAAAAAAAAAAAAAAAAACCACTGGAAGCTCAACATGTAAAAGGAAGAGCAATGCACTGAAAATCAAAAATTTTCAGCTGCCAGAATAGATGCTTATTGTTAGCTATGCTACCTCAGGCAAGCTGCTTCATGATTCAATGTTTAATTTTTCTGTTGTCAATTACCAAAATCTATCAGAATTAGTAAAGTATGAAATGATAATAGGACCTATCCATGGTTTAGTTTATTTTCATTGAAAGGCCCCCAAAGTGTAAGTATCAAGTAAGAAGGATTATCTTCAACTTTTCTTTTTCCTGGCCTATACTCAGCAGGTTAATCTGAAAAACAGTTGTCTGACATAAGATAAGCTAGCAAAGTTAGTACCTCGGGGACAATACGTTGGGCTAGAAAACAAAAATTAAGTTTAAAGTCATTTTCATCAAAACACATCTATAGATGAATAGAATAGAATAGAATAGAATAGAATACCCAGAAAAAACCCTTTCATATGCAGTCAGATATTTGACAAAGGTGCCAAGGAAAGACAGTCTTTTTGTAACAAATGAGACTGGGAAAACTAGGAATCCTCATGCAAAAGAATAAACTCTGACCTAACACCATATACAAAAATTAACTCAAACTGGATCAAGGACTTAAACATAAAACAATACTACTTTATTTTTTTAAAGATTTATTTATTTATGCATACAAGAACCAGGGTACAGGGCCAGATGCGCAGGACGGTGAGAGGATTCACCAGAGACAAAGTGGGGAGCAGAACAGGCAGACAGATCGAAATACACTGCTGAGGGGAGCAGCGGGTGAGACAGGAGAGGTCTGCCACGCCATGTGGGAATCTCCCTGGCCGGCCGAGAATCGAACCAGTGCTGCAGAGGCTGCAGACAGCTTCACAGCACTGCGCTCAACCCACTGTGCCACTGGGGAGGCCCAAAACAATACTACTTTAAAAGAAAACGCTGGACAAAACACCAAAAGTAAAGATAACAAAGGAAAAAATAAACAAATTGGACGTGAAAATTTAAAAACTGTGTGCATTAGAAGACACTATCAAGAGTACAAAGATAGCCACAGCTAGGACACAACATTTGCAAATCATATCTGATAAGGAACTAATATACAGAATATATAGAGAACTCCCAAAATTCAACAACAAAAATATAAGCAATCCAACTCAATGAAAAAGAAGCCAAATAGTTCTCCGAAGAAGACATATGAAGAATCAATAAGCACATGAAATGATGACATAAGATCAGCTATGGTTATCAGTCACAAAACAATCACTATGGTAATCATTTCAAAACTACAATTAGATACCACTTTACACATATGAGACTGGGTTCTACTATAAAAACATAACACAAGTGTTAGCAAGTATGTAGAAAAACTGGACCACTGTGCACTATTGGTGGCAATGTAAAAAGGTACACTGCCATGGAGAACAGTATGGTAGTTCCTCAAAAATAACAAAAATGAGTTACCATAAAATCCAGGAATTCCACATCTGGATATATGCCCCCCCCCCAAAATGGAAAGCAGAATCTCAAAGAGATATTTATATGCCCACGTTTACAGCAACATTATCCACAAAAACCTTAGTATTTGAAAAGAAACAAATTAGTCTATACCTGAGTACTCAAGATATAAAATAAGTTAATTCTCAGTGCTTTCTATAAAAATCACCTGTTACTACCAGAGCAGTTCTGAAAAGTACACACACGATTTTTTTTTTTTTTGATAGCCAAGTGGCTAGTGTTGAGGGCATTAGTAGGAATTCAGAAGTATTCTGATACTTCTGAAAATACTCTATGGGATCTTAACTAAAGGTCTTGCCATGGACAAAGAGCTAAATTCTTCGAGAGATTTTTTTTTTTTTAAAGATTTATTTATTTATTTATTTATTTATTTATACAAGCACTGGGTACAGTCAGAAGCGCGGGAAGGTGAGAGAATTCACCTGAGCCAGAGCGGGGAGCAGAGCAGGCAGACTGACGAAGTACACAGCTGAGGGGAGCAGTGGGCAGCAGAAGAGGTCTGCGCGCCATGTGGGACCCTCCTCTGGTGGCCGGGGAGCAGCCGGGGATCGAACTGGCGCTGCAGAGGCTGCGAGCAGCTTAGCAACCCAGCGCTCAACCGCTGAGCCACCAGGGAGGCCCAAGAGATTTTTGAAAGACATTTGGTGCTTAAAGATGAGAACTACATTTCATGCCACAGTTTACTGATCAGGTAGTAAGCACTATTCTCCTCCCCCTCTCCCCAACCAATGAAGAAACATCTACTAAGCACCTAAAGAGAAAGTCTCTTCTGGGATCTCTTATAAAATATAAGGCTATAAAAAAGAATGAGGAAATACATTGGCTATAACATGGATGAAACAAAGTGATAAGTGAAAGAAATCAGTCACAAAACAAAACAGATATGATCCTACTTATATGGAATGTCTAGAATAAGCAAATATATAAAGACAAAACAGATTAGTGATTGCCTAGAGCTGGTGGGGATAGGCAGAGGGGGCAGTAATAGTTAAGAGGATACTGGGCTTCTTTTTGGGATCATGAAAATGTTCTAATACTGATTGTAGTAGCAGTTGCACAATTCTATGACTACACTAAAAAGCACTGAACTGTACACTTTTAATGGCTAAATGAATGGAATTGGAATTATGTCTCAATAAAACTCTTAGGAAAGAAAAATAGACTAGTTACTAGTTACTACCTCGACCTGGTGGTAACTAGTTGGCATCTTTTTAAATAGAAAATTTAGGAGTAGTGGACAGATGCCCTAAACAGATGGCAATTAACTTAGAGTTTGGCTTTAGATGCTATGATAAAAGCTTGTAAATTTTGCATGGAGGCCAGGCAGTGGATACTCAATAACATAAAAGATGGTATTTACCATAATTGGAGGAATGGCTTATAAAAAAACACCTAATATACATGTAGACGAGAACTGATTGGTGTAGAGCAGAAAGTCAATTCAGAGGTCTAATAAATAACTTCTGATGGAATCAACTTCACTGAAGCAAATGCTGGTCCCTGACAGTGGGTTGTGGAGAGAGCAAGCAGATCACTGGAGAAAGCTATTCATGTTCACGGGGCAAAATGACCAATTGAGGCAAAAGGGGTTTACTTGGAGTTAAGGGGGAAAACTGTAGCTAAGAGGCACAGTTTGTAAACTTTAATGTAGTACAGGGCCATCTCTAAATCAAGAGTCAAAGGACCATTTTCCATTTCATTAGTGTCTCCTGGAAACAAAATGCTTAACTGGGGGGTTGCGAGGGGAGGTAGAGGTTTGCAGGGGGACAAAACAAAACAAAACACCCAAAAATAAAAACTCAAAATGCTCAACTCAAGCTAAAGACTTCTTTCGCAACAATTACAATAATGATACTTCTAATGACTGAGCTCATTTTAAGTTTTAGAAAAATGCAATAGTCTCACTTAAAAGGTTTTTATAAGGAAGAACGAGAAATCTGCGGCAGCTGAAACTGCAAGAAGGTGGATCTGCACAGGTCTGGAAATTAAGGAGAGGATGAAGACCCCAAGTAGGTGTACACAGCCTTGGAAATTAAGGAGAGGACGATATTCCTGGGTGTCGGGACCAAACGTACCTAGAGTCACCCGAGGGAAGAAGCGATGCGAAGGCATCCCGGGGACTGCATTTTTGCAGGAAAACCTGGAATGGGAGATCCCGCCGGCGAGGGTGCTGGCTGCGGCCGGAACGCTCAAGCTAAGAAGTTGTGGCGGCCGAAAACCAGCACACCACGGCCCCGCCCCGGCTCCGCGTTTCCATGGTTAACGTCAACTCCGGCTGGAGCACCAGGCGCGGAATGATGAGCGCACTCGGGGGCGGGCCCCGCGTCCGCTCGCCCCGCCCCCGGCCTGCCCAGGCTAGGCGGCGCGGAAGACATGCGCTTCGTTCGTTCCAGGCCTGTGCTGCCGTTGGCAATCGCCTGGACTGTGGCCTCGCCTTGGACCCCGATATGGTGGTCGCGGGAAGGGGTCCGGGCACTAGCCCTGAACTTTCCCCGGGGCCCTGCCCCTACGCAGAGCGTCGCTTCCCTGGTGACGTGACGCTCTTTCGCGGCGCACTTGTTCCCGGGCGGGTAGATGCGCGGCCGCCATTTTGCGAGCGTTAAGTCACCTGAGGTCTGGCAACTTTAGAGTGTTGTGGAACTCAAACCGTTCTGGGTCCCGCGACATCCGTGCTCTGTCACCAACAACGACGGTAATAAATGTTTTTAAGTGCTACGTCATACATCCTGTTCGACATGGAAGTTTTGGAACTGTATATACGTCCATTTCCTCGCCCCATTTTTACATTTTTTTCCACAAGTGGATTTGCGGTGGCCTTTTTATATATAAGGAACCAGAATGCTCATAATTGAAACATTATGCAAAAGTATCTGTTTGTTAATATAATAAGGAAACGTTCCCCGAGTCAAAAACAAAACAAAACACCTCGGCGGATTTACTAGTGGCACTCATTTCAGGGCCAGGAAAATCTACCAGGTTGCCACAAAGTCCCCAGTTTTGCTGGAGTTATAAAGTTATCCAAGTGGCCCGCGTCCACCGCCTCCATTTCCTACGATTTTTTATTTCTCCCCTTTGTTCTGGGCACCTTCCAGATAGGGGGTTGGAAGCCCGCGGGGCGGCCCTTGAGAGCTTTAAATTGGTCTCAACTGATTTAGAGGCTCGTGTAAGGAACGTTGAAGCCAGTTTGTTTGGTACCAGGGCACCTGTCTTTCTCCAGGGGACTGATACCCTCGCCATTCTGTATACTTGGGCTCCTGAGTGACAGGAGGAGGAAGGGTTTTTTGTTGTTTTTTTTTTCTTCCAAATTGTTGATTGTTTTTCAGGCTTTCTTAGACGTGATGGCGTAGTTTTTCATTTTTAAATTTTGCTAATTGAGGTAAGGTTGATTTACAACACTGTGTTTTAGAGATAACAGATTCACACCTCTGCAAAGCTAAGTTATCACACCAGGATCACCAAAGCCCCAATGATCCATCACAGCCATTGGGTCCCCTCCTTTCATTGCCCATCCCTACTGCCCCCCTAGCCCCACCCTCATTGGTGGTAATCTCAGTTCTGCCGACAGATTTCAAAGGTTTGTTTTCTCTGTGCTATGGTTTGTTCCTTTATATTTCATGAGTGAAATCATCTGGTATTTTTCTTCCTCCTGACTTATTTCTGCTTAGCATAATCCTCTCAGTAATAAATCAGTTCTTAAGTGCTTAGGTTTTGAGGCCAGAATGGAAAAAGAATACTTGTGTTAATATTAAAAGGAAGTCAAGGCTTACTTTAAAAAAAGAAGCAGCAATAACTGCCCAGAGGAAAAAAATGTAGTTTGTTGAAAGCATTGTTAAGGAAAGCCTTGTGTGGTATCAACGATAGATACTTATGTTCAAAGACACAATTTACATGTAGAACCTTTCTTAGTTCGGTGTGAACATAAATGTGCTCTTGGCCCATCTATAATGTTTCCCACTCTTTTAGGGAGGACAGTGATCAGTCATCATAGGGAGAGTACCACTTTAAACATCTTTGAAGCATTAACTGCTGCTAGTAACTCAGCGTGCTGTGCTTAAGAGTAGAGGTGCTGGGATCGGAGCCTGCTTGGAACCCTGACGCCACCCCACATCTATCATCAGTGTCATCTTGGTTTTACTTAATCTCTGGTGCTCAGTTTCCATATCTTGTACAATAGTGCTGATAATAAAGACAGAATTTACACTATGGCTGTTGTGCCGATTGGATGACATCAAATGATTGTAAATCTCTTAGTGAGAATAAGCTGTTATCTTTATGCAGAGAGGCTGTCACCCAGATACAACCAGGAGGAATCTTTTTTGGTTGTTGAAATACCAGATGCAGATATTTGTTTATTAAATTCTTTTCGAATAAAGTTACTTTTGCTCTTTCTTAGAGTAAAATTACTAAGGCTCATGGCACAAAGTCTTCGGTTACTTTTGGATAAAACATTCATTTAACATCTGTTGACAAAATGGATGCTCTTTGGCAGGCACCACATTAATTGCTACACATGTAACCTTAAGTAAAATATGATCCCTCTCCTCAGGGTATTTACCAAAATATGGCTTGGAAGAACAATAAGGACCATTAGTAATTGCAATGTATGTGATAAACAGATGTGCACTGGAGCTACAGAAACAGAAGAGGAATACAGAAATCATTCTGGGGAACTAAGGAAGGCTGTGGTCTGGTTTTAAAGACAAGTAGAAGTTAGCTGGATGAAGATGTGGGAGAGAGGTATTTCAGGTAGGAAACATTCATTCATTCATTCATTCTTTTAAAAAATGCACAGCACATACAATGAGGTGCCTTATGTACCTCATTTAATTTTAACCTTATGAAATAGTTTGTTTTCATAAGGAATCTGAACTTCAGAGAAGTAAAATAATTTATGAGATATGGGGTTTAGGACATACCTATATGTCCCCAAGATCCATATTTTTTTCTTCCATATTTTTGATTCACATAAAATAAAAATATCAAAAATCTGATGCTGCTTCTTCAGAGAGAATGTTTGCTGGGGCATTATGGCATACAGGTTTTGTGTAATGGTAGTGTGCCCATTTTCAGTTCATGCCAGTTACTCCTCTTTGCCCAAAAAATAAAAAAACACAAAAAAAACAAACACACACAAAACCCCAAACCCAATAAAAAACAATAGAACCCTCACTCCACCTCACTGCCCAGGGAGCAGTGACCAGAGGGCTATGAATATAATATGAAGAGCTGTAGCACAAGGTAGAGTTGTTTAAAGAAGAGGTGAAGTTGCCTCAGGGAATTAGGGAAGCCTAATTGCCTGTCTGGATGGAGTGGTAGAATTGTCAGATTGGGTAAATGATTGGGAAGGGGTGGGAATGGGGTGGAATGGTAAGGATACCATAGGAAAAAGGGAAAAAACTAATTTCTAAGCTGGGTAGAGAGAGTTTGAGGTGCCCTAAAATACAGGAGGAAGAATAGGTTTAGAAAGAAAGATAACCCACTTTGAAATATATGTATTTTGAGGGACTGGTAGAATATGTCCAGTTTGAAATACAGGATTGGACCTTAGGGGAAAGGTTGAGAGAGATCTGGGAGTATTTATTCTACATTGAAAAAAAAAATTGAAAGAAGATTGAAAGAGAATGTCCTGATTTATATCTTTATGGGTACAAATAAAGCCATCAGGAAAGAAAGGAACTATGAGATGATTGATTTCTTAAATGGCTCATTGCTTTATATCTCACATCATTATATATGTACATAAATGCATATAAACACGATCTAATGAGCATGTGGGTAGAAATTTTAGCATGTTCCAGCATGGTCACAAACATATGGGTTGGGTGACATGGGGTTATGATATTAAAGATGGGGAGTGACCAGTTGTTAATTATGAAGTTTCATACTTAAATATTCTCTCTAAAGCATGCCCAGCTTAAGTAGGAAAAATTTCATAATACAGAAGCGTAAATAGGACCATCAAATAATATATAATGTAATTATAGCTTTGCTCTTAATTGGTTTCAGATTTTATTGTAAAATACATTTATTTAAAAATGTATTTATTTTAAATTACAATTCTGAAAAATTTACAGTAATTTTGGTTTTGATTAGAATTTTAGATTTTCTTGTGTAGCTCTTTAATTTCATTATTATTTCACATTAATAACTTTATAGACTTGATTTTTAATTTTAGGACTGTTTCAACTAATATTATTTTAGAATGTTATCTCCACTGGAAACTTATTTTAGATAACTGTTAAAGTTGGGAGACTAAAAATCACAAATTGGAATATAAAAGGTCAGAGTTTTTTTTTTTTTTTTTTAAATAATAATTTTTATTTTTATATTCCCCCATACAACTGCACATGCCCCATTCTGACCCCAATCCCTCCCCTCCCGGCGCCCACCCCCCAAAAAGTGTCTCTGGTTCATAGTTTTTTGTTGATTTTGATTTTCACTTTCTTATAGTTATTCATTTTCCTGATCCCTTATTTAAGTTTTCTAGATTCCTGCTATGAGTGAGACCATCCGGTATTTTTCTTTTTCTTTTTGGCTTATTTCGCTGAGCATGATCCCTTCCAGCGCCATCCATGTTGCTGCAAATTGCATGTGTTTTATCTTTTTTGAATGCTGAGTAATATTCCATGGTATATATGTACCACATCTTCTTGATCCAGTCATCTATTTTTGGGCATTTGGGCTGTTTCCAAAGCTTAGCTATTGTAAATAGTGCTGCTATAAACATAGGGGTCCAGGTGTTCTTTGGTATTGATGTTTCTGTGTCCTTTGGGTAAATACCTAGGAGTGGAATTGCTGGATCATATGGAAGCTCTATGTTTAGTAGGTCCAGAAATCTCCACACAGCTCTCCATAGTGGTTGGACCAGTTTGCATTCCCACCAACAGTGCAGGAGAGTTCCTTTTTCTCCACACCCTCGCCAACATTTGTTGTTGCTAGTTTTTTTAATATGTGCCATTCTCACTGGTGTAAGATGGTATCTCATGGTAGTTTTGATTTGCATTTCCCTGATTACAAGTGATGTTGAACATTTTTTCATATGCCTGTTGGCCATTTGCATTTCCTCTTCAGAGAAGTTTCTTTTTAGCTCTTCTGCCCATTTTTTGACTGGGTTATTTTCTTTGTTGTTGTTGAGTCTCATCAGCTCTTTGCAGATTTTTGTTATCAGTCCTTTATCATTAGTGTTGTGTGCAAAAATGTTCTCCCAGTCGGTGGGGTTTCTCTTTGTTTTTGTTATTGTCTCTTTTGCTGTGCAGCAGAGTTTCTTTTTTTTTTTTTTTAACTTTTAGCTTTTGTAAAAGTTTGTGAGTGAAATTTCACTGAAGGATCAAAATTTAAGAGTAACCAAACAGTGTAAATATCACAGGCATACTTACAATTTGACTTATAAAAAGTTACACACAGATCTCAATGACAATGATTTCCTTTTATTTTGGCACACACAATTAAGAGGTGACTGCGGATTTAATAGTAAGATTAGGTTAGATCCTCCAAAAATATTAATCTCATGTTATTAGCTATTTGTAGATATGTATAAGAAAACTTTCTTTCAAATAATAAGGCATCAGCTAACCATATGATGTGTTTTATTATTAGTAACTTTAGTTTCTAAATCTGAAATATCTATCATTTTCCTGGCATTTGCCTGCTAACTTCCTTGTTTATAAATGTACCTACTGTTTAGAATTATGAGAACACTACCTCTACTTTCCTGTAGAATGAATATGTAAGGAAGTGCAATGAATAAGTTAACTTATAAAATCTCTCTTTGATTTCATAATTAAAAAAGAATGTTGAGGAGGGTAAGGGAAGAGGTAGATTAACTTGCTTACAGGTAGAGGAAAGCCCTCTCAACTGCTCATGATACTATGGTTATGAAATGGAATAGTCTACACTGATTAGAATTAGTATTTATAGTTTACATTGTGATTCCTTCTTCATGTTAATATATTTAAAAATATGAAAACTGGAGGTTACTTACTGATAAATATTTCACAGAAATGAAACCACATTTGGCAAATGAAATTTATATATAAAATATAAATAACAATACTCATGTTGGTGAAATGGTAGGTTGGGGGCACATTTTGAAACTTAGCTTGACTCTACCTAATAAAATTTAAAATTTGTTTCCTTTGACTGACAAATTTTTGCTCTAGAAATATACTTTATAGGTACTTCCACAAATAATCTAAGTATGCAGTAATATTTGTATAAAGCTAGAATATTTGGAATAGTGAAACAAACATTTGCAGAAAGGAATAGCTTAAATAAATAAAGTACAAAAGGAGGTATAGGCCAGCATGCCCAACTTAAGTAAAAAAAATTAAAAATTACAGTTTGTATAGTATGCTTTGTGTAAACTTACTTTTGAAGGACACATAAGAAACTGATAATTTAACTTCTGAGTGTTTGATAGGACGGGGAACTTTTATTTTTTATCATATCTCTTTTTGTGCAATTAGTATCTTTTTAACAGTATGCACTACTTTTATGATCTTTAAATCATTAAATTTCAAACAAAATTAAATAATCAAAAATATCCACTCTACTACCAAAAAAACCTCCCACCAGGCTGCCAAATAACCAGAAAAATGGCATAGTACACTTTTGTTGTCATAGGCCATAAGTTCAAATGAAAATCAATGTATTGTAAAGAATATTCAAAGAATTCTTGATCCCACTGAATGTTAAAAATGCTGTTATTTATGAATTTCAAGCCAAATATTGCCTTCATGTTCTTACATAGAAATTTTCCACTAAAAAGACTTTGTAATTAGTAGAAAACGTATATGCCAGTAAAGATCAGCATGCAAAAAGAGATGCATTTAGTGGTAGAGGTAACCATATATTAAGAAACAAATAATAAATTTTTATTTGTGGATTTTATGTAGAATTAGCCTATGGATTTTTCCCATGGAATGTTTTCCCTTAAAAACTTTATTTTGACAACAATAATGAATAACATTTTGAGGAAACTTTCTTTTAAGGGCATATGTGCCCTCTCTAACACATGTAATGAAACCAAACAAATACACTCTCTACTGAAAAAGTCAAATGAAAATATTTTTATTCTGAATGGCCCATTTACTATAGAAGCATACATTCTAAATTCCATAATTTATTGGTTTGCCCAAATATATTTTGGGCTAGAATATTGGACTATGAAAACCTACAAGTTATACTTATTGTGTGAAAAGATTTTGTTCATTCTATGCCTCCTTTCCCCAGTATACATTGTAAAAATTAGTGCATTTTTTTTTAAATATACTAACCTGAATGTGATGTGGTGTTTTCCAGAAATAAATTTTTATTTCTTTTTCTCCTCATGCACATATGAATAGTATTTCCTTTAGGAGGCAGTGAACACTCTTTAAGAATAAGAAAGGCTCTGAACTGATTTCCCCTCCCTTTGATTGTAGCACCAATATCACACCTATTATTGTCTTCTCCCAAAGAGAATGACTCCTTCTGTTCAGAAACAAAAGCAGTCTGACAACACTAAGAACACTCTGAGATACTTGGTCCTTTTCATGATCTCTGATTACTAGACCAATATTTTCCTTTATATATATATTAACTCAATAACTGATTTCTTCCTTGTTGGATAAATGAACATGGGCATTTATTCCAGATGGAAACATTGGAAATTTAAGAAAACAGTGCTTTTCTTAGTATGATTTTCATAGTTATAGAAAGCATATTTAATTGGAAACTAATATTCAAGTTAAAATTCACTCTCTGCA